ATCCTAGTAGGGGCTGCCGTACTAGGGCGGGTAGGGTTCTAAGGGCTCTTGCCCTTACCCTAGGACTAGGTTTAGGACGACTAAGTTTAGGACCTTATAGCAGCGTAGATATCTATACTGTTCTTAGTAACCGCGTAAACATTAGTGACTACGTCCGGGTCCTAAGATACAAAGTTGACTTTAATAGGCTTAGTAGTACCGTTACTACTCCGCTCCTTAACCTGTTTTGCCCTAACCTTCTAAGTCTCTCGTTTAGTAATAGCGGCGAGGGTACTATTCCTAGTATCCTTAAACTCGATCTTACTACTATACTTCTTCTCTAGAAGACTCCTAAGTTGAGGTAGCTTCGGGGCTCTACGATCCTACTCGAAGTTAATCTTATCGCCGGTATCGGTATAGTAGAACCGACTATTTACTTATATAACGAGCTTCCTCTTAAGAAGCTCCTTCTAGATAGGGTAGTCTAATTAAATATGTTTAAAACCGCCGCATATCTAGCACTTGCTATCTAAGTCCGAATAGATCTTCCGTATAGCGTAGACGTTAACTAAAGGGGCCTTAGGGTAGTTAGGATCGGAGACCTAGTAGACTAGTAGTATATCCTTTAGTATACTAGTATTAAGGACCTCCCTAACTCGCTATAGTGCTTTCGTATTAAGGTTGAGCTAGGCTAGGGATTTAGCTAAGTCCGTAACGTCCTAAGAATACTTAGTAATAGTAGGAGTTACGGTACTAGGACTACTTTGCGATTTAGGAAGAAACTTAGGCCCTCTAGTTCCCGAGGTATCGTTCCTTACCTAGGCTAGGTTATTCCGGTCCTCGCCGTAAATGAACTTCTTTACGTCGGCGGAGCTGTTAATGTCGTCCTTAATAGCCTCTAGGACCTCTTTATACTTCCTAAAGGTCTCGGGATTAGCTTCGCTAAGCTTATAGCGACAGAAGATACGCTTAGCCGTAGACTACGGCAACCCTTTAAGGAGCAGCCTCGTTCTCTAAGAATTCTCGAGGTCCTACTAGTCGATGCCGTCCGCTAACTTAATAAACTCGCGGACGTACTCCTTTAGGTCGTTATCTTCGGTACGCCTCTCTATATAGAGGTTCTTAAGCTACGTACGACTACCTTTAATACGACGGCTATCGCGATCCCGATACTCCCTTATAAAGGCCTACTTAAAGACCTCCTAGTCGGCGTTAGACTTGTCGTCCTTTTCTAGGTAGCTAACTAGGGTTCTAAGGGTTCGGTAAAGCTTAGTAATAGTAGTCCTCGTAAGGGACCGGACCTTATACTAGTCCGACTCCTCTTCGAGTCCGTACTCGGCTAAGTTGTCCTTAAAGCGTTCTACGTACGCCGTAGCGTTCTACCCTTCGAATAGAGGGTTCCTACTGCTTCCTAGCTCTAGCGGGCGACGCCTATTCTAACGGAGAAGGTTAGTCTGCCCTTAAATTATCTTTATAACGATATTATAGAGGGCCTCGGGCGTAGAAGGCTCGATAGCCCCTAGTTCGATAGCGCTTATAACAACTAGTCGTCGCCTGATTTCTTCGTTAATAGGGTCCGGTAGGTTATTAGATTCCGAAGATTCCGCTAATTCGTAATACTCGCTTTTACTAGAGCTTATTCGATTGTTATAAAGTAGTTAAAATAAAATGCTATAGGAAAGTGTTTTTAGTATATATTATAGGTTTGGTTTGTTTCAATGTTGCTATACGAGAAAATAGTATGCTAGGCTGTTTTCTTCTAATATTACCCCTAGGGTAGTATTAGAGTTTAGCCTCCTAGAGGTCGCCTAGACACCCCTAGGAGCTTTAGTTTAGTAAATTTAGACAAAAACCGCTCGGAGGAAGGGACTGCAATCTCTATTTATACCTAGATCCTAGAAACTAGTTACTTTACTAACTATCGTTATCTCCTTTAGCTAGGTAGGGGGGGCGGGGACCTTCTTTTTCTAGTAGAAGGCTAAGCACTGTCCGAACGAGGCAGCGAATCCCGAAACAATCTACCCGGTTAATAGGGGAACTGTCTAGGCATCCGACCTGTAATCTAGAAATTGCTATCGTATAGATAGTCTTAGCAAACTAAGCAAGGCCGATAGGTAATTAGTCTATCTCCTCCTTAGGCGGGGCTTATCTCGAGTAAGCGGTACTAAATAGGTCTTCGACCCGGAGCCGAGTCCTTAGAAGCTAGCTATAGTTATAGACTAGGCCCTAAGCTATAATAGTCCTAAGGGTTTGTAGCTTTTCGGGGTTAAAGCGATGCCCTCGTTAAGAGGTTTCTCTGCTTGTCGTAACGGCCCCTTAAGATACTTCGGTATCGTCCGTATCGTAGGCTCTTATCGTACCCTCGCTTCGGTTATAGCTATTCGTACCTAGAGACTACCTTTAATATACCCGAACCTGTTAGATATAAAGAGATAGCCCTACCTTCGGCTCTAATAAAGGACGGAAACTAATACTACTACTACTACTTATAGCAATAGTATAGGCTACCGAGGGTAATATAACCTATAGTAATATAGGCAGCTATGTTTAGCAAGATAGGATAACGAGACTGTCGCTTAGGCTAATAACTAGAGCCCTGCAATATAGGCATTATAGAAGTGTAACATAAACAATATACTATACGAGGTTGATAATCTATCTACTCTATAGAAGGAGGCCTCTTATATAGGCTCAAAACTAGCCTATAGGTATAGGGCCGGTTACTAGCCAATACTAGGGAAGAAGTCAATAGGATTCATATCTAGGTAGACAACTAGTTAGCTATTTCCCTTATTAAGGACTATACAAATTCTAAGAGGTCGAGGCACGTTTCCCTTAGGAACTACTACTATAGAGAATAGTATACCTAGGGAAAGATTAGTGTCGAATTCGTTACTACTAACAAATAGCTAGCGGACTGTTTTACTAAGCCTAAATCTCTAAACAAAATTCTCTAATAATATAGCGTCTCTAGGACAAACTCCTAAGTCACTCCTTTAGAAAGAAAAATCTTATTTATAGGATTAGAAAACAAGCTTTATACACTCATTAAATTTCATTCTAATTTCTAGAAACAGCCTAGCTGCATTATATAGTCTAAGCTGCAAAATTTCTTTTATAACAATATTGAGACTAAGTAGGAAGAAATACCCTAGCCCTTAAGAGTCAGAAACTCTCTAATACTATAAGGCTTTTACTAATCTAGACTACCTAGCCTATTTCAAAATCGAAAACATATATTATAGCTCTCTGTCTACTAGAAAAAACCGAATCTCCCTAATTAGCTACCTATCTTAGCATTACTATCTTCGTAATTAGAGAAACCCCTCTAAGGACTATTAGAATTACGCGTCGAGCTAGGACTAGTAGACAACCTAGAACCTAGACTACGACTACGTCCCTAAGCAGTAGCCTAGGCATAAGCATTTGCCTACTATAGTAGCAAATTTGCTACTACCTAGGCGCCCTAAGGAGTACTCTAATCGATGCTAGACGGGACTAGTACGTATAGACGACGCTAATTAGTGCCTGCTCTACTCCCCGGATTGCGAGGCAGTAGAGGCGCTATAGGCGTCTAACGATTCGTATTAGAGCGTAGCCGAGAGACGTAACCTAATAAAAGAATTAGTATTTTTGCTTTAAAAAAATATATAAGACTAGATTTAACTTACTAGAGAACTCGCATTAACTATAATAATTTAGGCTAGTATAGTTAGTATAAGCGCCCTTTAGGAAAGCGATATCCTAACCGTTAATTCGATAACTTAGAGTTATATACTCTAAGTACGGACCCTTTAACTGCTTACAAGGACCGCACTAGCTGTTACTAGTATACACGCGTCTAGCAGTAGCTGCATGTATAAGCGCGGTAGGTAAGTAGTTAACATTCGATTTTGAGCCTAAATTGAATGCCTTAGCCGCCTTGCGCAGACGCGGAGGCATACTTAGAAACAGCCGAGTATTATCCTAGCTCGTAATAAAATGCCTAATATTAACATTGCGTAGCTAAGGCGGAGTCTGCTCCGGACTAATATTAGTTAAGCACTAGATAATTCTCTAGAGAATCGCGATAGTTAACTAAACTTCCTTAAGGACTGCGCCTAGTTAGCAAATTGTTAGAAAAGGGAAAACTCTAATAGTAATACTTACTAGTCTCTATAAGCTAGAGCTTATTATAACGCAAAGGGTGCCGATTCTTGTTTAGATTATTACTACCGCCGCCGCTGCTACTACTACCTATACTACTCGCTATACTCCCTAGGCTAGGGTAAAGAATTATCGCTATAATAAAGTCTCGGCTAGCTATTAGACTTAAAAAGTTTTAGTAAGAATTTAAATTCTAGTAGAGGCTGCTAGTACTTAGGGGATTGCTAAAGAGTAGATTATAAAAGTTTAAGTTATCTAGTCAAGTTTAAGTGTCTTTTATAGGCGCCTACTAACCCTACAATTACGACTAAGGACATTACTCTAAAGCAAACTAATTAGTAAACATCGTAATGTAAGTACGTACGAGTAGCGTAGTATATAGGGCTGTATATAAAGTAGATATAGTCTAATATCTAAAGGCAGTTAGAAGATAAAGTAAAGCTCTAAGCCTAGATTTAAAGTATCTAATCTAAACAGCATATTATCTCTACCTAAGGGGGAGTATTATAGTTTAGTTAGGTAATATGCTAGTTAGCTAATACTATTAGCTAACCTATGCTAAGAGGAAGGACATACAATAGCTATATTAACTGCAGTTTCTATAGCAGGCTCCTAATCCTTCTTTGTATAGTTATATAGTTGTCAATCCGATAATTAGTTGCATCTCTAGCACGATTCACAACACGGATCTGATTCGCCTACTCTGCGTCGGCCGAAGGATCATCACACTTCAGGGCACGATCGGCACTCTCGGAACCCCAGATACCAACGCCGATGATTCAGCAGCTTGAATTGCGACTCTCGGAGGGAATGACTTCAAAATCGAATGCAGTTCCCTGTCCGGCACTGTCAAGCGGTTTGCTTCATCGCAAATAATGACAGGTCGAAAGATTCGAGTCGTCATCGTTGGCGGCGGCATTGGAGGTCTCGTGGCGGCGACGTTCCTTGCTCAGCATAGGCATCAGGTCACTGTTCTTGAGCGTCGACAACGATATGCAGAATCGGAATTTCTGGAGGCGGCTCAAGGGATCAATCTCACGAAGAACGTCTGGACCTGCTTTGCTGCGCTGGGCATGACATCTGACTTTGAGCAAATCTCGGACTATGGCAAGGACTGCACTGTCAGGAAGCATATAGATGGTTCAACCGCTCGAGTGGTCAACAGCCTTAATGGTCATCGATTTGTGCATCGTACTAACCTTCCAACACTATTATTTCACTTCGCGACGAAAGCGGGTGCTGCCGTGCTGCAGGGCGAGAGCTTCACAGAAATCAACGACTCGAACGAAGGTGTCACTCTGCAGCTTCAGTCTATAAAAGAATTGGCAGCAGACTTGGTCATTGGCTGTGATGGAATTCACTCCAAAGTACGGTCATGCATACCTTCGGCAAAGCAAATCCAGCCCGTCTTAACGGGAGACTGTACCTTCCTCGTTGATGGGCCCAAGGAAGTTATGCAAAGACACGAAACTTCCTCGGCCTTATACAACAACGGTACTCCGCCATTCCACCTCTGGACGGCGCCACAACGATCAATTGTTGCATGGACAATGACACGGCACCAGCGGTATCACCTTCAAATGAGTGATCATACTTACGGTACAGGGACCGCGTACAACTTGGACGAAGCTGATACAGAGGGCGCATTCGTGGAGCGCTATTCGAATATGCACGCCTTTCGCAAACGATGGAGTGATTTCGAACCAGCCATTAGAGATCTTCTAGGCGAGACTGCCGCTGTCACAAAGTGGAGAATTGCAGAGCTGCCAGAATTGCCATCGTGGGCCAGCGAGTCGGGTAAATTGGTTCTGTTGGGTGATGCTGCACATGCGTTTCCTCCAGTGAGTGATCTGACATAGCACTAACAGTCAGCTGCTGACGATGCATAGTACGCCGGTCAAGGTGCTGCAATGGCGATTGAAGATGCGACACTGCTTGCAGCACTTGTCTCGCGCCATGCCGACTCGCAAACAATGCTTTCAATAAGCAGGGCATACGAGAAGCTTCGCAGACCTCGTATCGTCGGCTTTCGTGATATCATCAAAAGGAATGTTCAACAGTGGTCTGGGGAAAATTCGAATGTCGAGGCACAACAGCCATCGGCCAATGAAGCGATCCCAAGTGGTGCGAAGGGAGCATGGTCGACGATGGAGCGATACAAATGGATTGATGAATACGATGCAGTTGCAGAAGCCCACAACTGCCATTTCGATGCCAAGCTCTGAGTCTTTACAGTATGCAGGAGTCCAGTCCCTGCAGATAGGTGGATTACGGCTCGCGACTACTTTATGGATCGATACAGAACATCGAAAAATCTCCAACATTGTCTCGTAGCACGTACCTCCACATCGCTCTACTACTATCTACTGCCAAATAATGACGCCCCTAGAAGAATGGACTGATTGTTCGGCCTGTCGGCCTGTGGTTCCCCAGCCGGCTTGGCATCTCGTGAGTCAGCATCCTCCCAATAATGTCTCCAGCTTCTGTGTTCCCATCTCTTTTTCCTTTGCATCTCGATGGTCATGACAGTGCTAGACATCAATGTCGTGGTGCCACTGTGGTAGACTCAAGAATGGTGCGTCGTCCCATGTTCACGGTTCTGGGCAATGCCGTCGCATGAGCGGCGAACGGTAGAACTACAGCCCCACGCTGTGAGTACCTCCTGAGCATAGCCTGGTTAAGTCACATTACTTACCAGCTCTGCTCAGGTCGACAGCGATGACAACGTGGGCGCATGTGTACTTAGACTTCACCGTCGCCCTGCAGCGTGTTCGCTCAACTGCAGCTGAGCCGCTACAGCGCTGGGTGGCCAGACGCAGAGAACGTGGCAACCAGGATCAGACGGGACTCATGGTCCACGCTGCGGCTAATTGAGTTCCGCGATGTATGTGGGATTCTGAGTGCAGACAACGGCGATGCGGCATTCCATCAACTTTCCGCAAAGACAAAGACAAGAGCGCCTCTTCAGGAGGATCTCTCGCATTCGAATTCGAGCCTGATGCCGAGAGGTGCCTGGAATGAAAGAAGCGTGAGCGTCAGATGTAGGTGAAGCTGGGAAAATCGACGAGCGCATTTCCTACTGTAGACTTCGAACACCTGCGACGCAACACTGACGGAGTAGAGATGCACTTCGAAACTTTATCTGAATATTGTTGCATCGAAGCAGGTACGAGTGAAGTGAAGTGGCACTTGCCCGCAAGCAAACCCCCAACCGCACCCGCATCTCCTTCACTCGTGAGGACAAACTCCACCTGCAAAACTTCTCGCCCGACACCTTCTCAATTCCCTCTCCTCTCATCCACGAACTCGCCCCAATTTCGCATCTCACTCTCGCATCTCTTCTCTTCTCAAAATCAGCAGAATACACATCGCACTTGCCACCATATAAGCAGCATCTTACGCCAACATCTCAACATGAGAACCGAGCAGATCATCTTCGAAGCTAAAGAAGCAGGCCGCCGAATGAAGGCCAGTTGCGACTCCGACACCGAAAGTCGCCGCTCGTCCATCACAATCGACGACAATGGCATGATCATCCAGCGCGGCTTCCTTGCGCCAGTCAGCAGGTCGTCGTCGCAGAACTCGCTCGCGTGCACTCTGACAAACTCCTCCGCCAGCTCTTCCTTCATCGCAGACTTCAATACACCGGCAACGTCATTTGGGTCGCCAGCACCAGGCTATAGTCGCCCGACAGGATCTCTCTACCACGCGGCAGAATTCAGAAGACTGCGCAAGGAGTCGGCCACCTCTCTTTTGCTTCCTGTTCAAAATCCGCCACTGGAGGTGGTATGGAGACCACGACCTGGGATGGGTGAAAGGCGCCGGACTTGGCAGACTGCCAATCATCGTGCGTCGCAAAGCACCTCCAGCAGCTACAAAGGCGATGAGAGCGCACTGGGCAGCTCAAAACGCGACCAAGGATCGGCGGCGACGACGGAGGTCCAGCGCGTGTCACAAAGCACTCCCAGCAGCTACAAAGATGATAATGGCATGAAAATCTCCAAAGACCCCACAGAATTCGGAGCGAAGAGGGCAGTCTCGCGCGTGGCGTCGCCATCAGCATCTCTGCTGTCAGAAAGCCTCATGGAATCGAGAATGAAACAGAAGAGTCGGAGTGCATTTGAAGCGCAAATGAAGAGGAGTGGCGAGTGTGGCAGCACCGGCAAAACGCCGAATTTTGGTGGACGCGAACAGCGAAGCAGCTCACTTCTGGAGAATGGCCAGTCACCACTAAAGCAAAAGGAGCCTGCCCGGAGCGATTCAGAACACGCAGAAGACGATGGTGCTGCAATCGCCTCGGATGGCGAGGACGACGACGACTTCATTGACGACAGTGATGTCACCATCATGCGCAACCGGAATTGCTACGCAGAACGTCGAGCGCTCAACGATGCGAGGGTAATCTGACTCTGAACGGACGGGATCGACGTGGAAGTCCACGTAGCGACATAACACACCACACAACACCATTGATGAAAAGGCACTTTCGAGGACGCTCAAATATTCCGCGCGTGGCACGCACGGAACTCTTTCGATAGACCCCAAATACGAAGCGGCTAGCGGCCGGAAAGGTGGCGAGAATCTCGAAGCGCATTTGGAGAGCACATTACTAGCATCGACGCGCTCTTCGGAATTTTGGGACTGAACTTAATGGTGCTCTGCAGCACATCGTCACGTCAGATCGTAACAGACTAGGAATTTTCATGATATCCGGAGAGCTTGTAGAGAGTAGAGAGAGAGAGAGAGAGCTCCACTCATCCAGGCAGACCTCCCTTGAAGTACTTGCTTGGGACAAATGGCATTTTCGTCACCACAGCCTGCCGCTTCTTGCCTCTCACTACCACATCGACTTCCGTACCACTTTTGTGCATGCCATCTTTGATATAGCCCATGGCAATATTCTGTTTCAGAGTTGGTGACGGACATCCAGACGTGACTTTGCCAATCACCTCACCACTCTCTTTGTCGAGAATCTCTGCGCCTTCTCGCGCAGGTGATCCGGTCACGGTCAATCCGATGCGCCTTCTCGTCACGCCGATACCACCTTCTTTCTTGGGCGTGAGTTGTGGAATTATGGTTTCTGCACCGTTGAATGATGCCCGTTCACCCGAACGTCGGGACTTGGGCACGATCCAGTTCAGAGATGCTTCGACGGGTGTGGTGGTATCGTCTAGATCGTGACCGTACAAGCACATTCCAGCTTCGAGGCGAAGACTGTCTCGTGCTCCTAAGCCAGCGAATCTGAGCCGGTCTTTGCCTGCCGCTTCCAGAAGCGTCTTGGTCACTTCTACAGTTTGCGAGGGATGGATGCTCAGTTCAAAGCCATCTTCGCCTGTATAGCCTCCTCGAGATGCCACAATGGGGAGAGATTCTTCCCCAGTAGAGCGCAAAGTCACGGTGATGTATTTCTGCGTGCCGAAGTACCATTTGCTTAGGTCAACCTTGCACGTTTTCGCAAGGGTCTCCTGCAGAATGTCCTTGGAAAGAGGTCCTTGGAGGGCGATGAGACCGTAAGTCTGGCCATCATTCGCTTGCAAGTGGCGGAGGTGAGTGACTGGGTTGACAGTATTGTCCCACTTTTCGATAGCTTTGCTGAGGAAGGCGTAGTCCTTGGAACGGCATCCAGCATTGGTGACGAGGTAGAAGAGATGCTTAGGACCTTCTTCGAGACGAGTGATCATGCAGTCATCTACAATGCCGCCGGTCTTGGGATGTAGTAATGCTGAGAGCGTAGACTGGCCCGGTTTCAGCTCTTTGATGCCTGCTGGAGTGACCGATTCGAGAAATGCTTCGGCGCCAGGACCTTCGACGTGATACTGGACCATATGACCAACATCGAAGAGAGAGGCTTTCTCGCGTGTCCAGACGTGGCTTTCGCCGACGGAAAGATCGGAGTACTGTACTGGCATGGAATAGCCACCAAAAGGAACCATTTTCGCCCCGTTTTCGAGGTGAAGATGATATAAATCTGTCTTTCCTGGGTTCTCTTCTGTGTACATTTGTGGCGCTGGTGTAGCATTGCTGCTCTGTGCTCGTCTCTGCTGAGCAATCGAAGAGGTGAAACATGTCTTGGCTTTGACTTCATCCTTGGGATTGCGCAAGGTCTTGCTAGAGATGGCCCGGGTTGCTACGACCTGAGCAAGTTGTCGCCCGCACGGCCGCGATGCTTTCAAGGCGCTGCGTATGGGCAGCGCCACTCGCGCAGCACTTTTGCTCGCTGACATCGCTACCCGCCTGACCAGGATGACTGTTTACCGCCCGCCACGCAAAGGTCTCCTCAAAATCAGCCCAGCAGCATGTGTTGTCTCGAGAAGTCCAGAAACGCAAGAAAGGGCAATTCCAGGCTTGGAGCAATGTATAGAGACCCCGGGAGATAGTAAACAAAACTAGGATTCACATCAACGAAGGTGAGGTCGACTTTCAATGCCATGCGGGAATCGCGGCTCCACATCTAGGGGTCCAAGCTCTCGGATCCTGGAAGCGACGAGCAGGTGAAAGGCAACGACGAACCAGAAGCAGCAAAGACAACCGAAGCACATCCTCACCACCTCCGCCTCCATACACCTTCACGACCGAGACAGAGCTGGAAGGGGAACATGCCGACTCAGACGTGGTTCCTGGTATCGCTGCCAAATTCAATCTCTCCCTCGGGCGACCGCGACGAAGCTCTCACAGCATTACGGTCAGCAGTATCCAACGACAATGGCACTACCTACCCCTTCAACATTCCCGAGTTCAAGATCGGCACTCTCGATGCATTAGTGCAGCAGGCAGATGATTTGGCAAAGCTTGAAGCAGGATGCAAAGGTGTGGTGGACAAAGTTGCCGACTCACTGCGGAATCTGCTCGAAGGAGACGAGGATAAGATTCAGGAACAGAAGGTTGTTAACGACAGTATGTGTGCTAGGCTGAGGCGAACAGAGAGCGTAAAAGTACTAAACAATGCCATCCAGAGCCTGTCGAGTCATACCTTCAATCTTTCCAATGGAACAGGGTCAAGTACCGCGCCGACAAGCCCATAGGCGAGCTTCTTGATCTTCTGCAGAAAGAAGTGGCTGCTGTGGACAACGATGTCAAAGCCAAATTCCAACAGTACAATACGACCAAGGCGAATCTCGCAACCCTTTCGCGATCACAGACAGGCAACCTCTCGCAAAAATCGCTAAACGCGGTCGTAAATCCAGAAACATTACTCAAGCCCGATGACAGCGAATACCTACAACAACATCTCGTCGCCGTACCTTCGCAAGGTGTGAAAGAGTTCTACAAGAAATATGAATCGATCTCACCCATGGTCGTACCAAGATCAGCGAAGCTGCTCGCCAAGGATGACGAATTCCAGCTATTCGCGGTGACGACATTTAAGAAGCACGCTTCAGAATTCATACACAAGGCACGAGAGTACAAATGGGTGCCGAGAGATATGACATTCTCGGATGGAGGTAAAGAAGGAGAAGAGCAAGAACTGCGAAGGCTGGAGAAGGAGGAGCGAAGAGTCTGGGGTGAGGCGCTGCGATTGGGACGAACAGGATACAGTGATGCGGTCATGGGCTGGATACACGTTCTCACGTTGCGCGTCTTTGTCGAGACGGTGCTTCGATATGGTCTGCCGCTAGCCTACGTTTGCGGGCTGATCAAGGTAAGGCTGAACTCGTGAACATTTGCCTTTTTCAGAATTCTGATGATATTCCTCCAGACCGACTCAAAGCGCTCGAAGAAGACGAAACAAGCACTTGACGCGCGATTCTCGGATCTCGGAGGCAACGCCATGTTCAAAGACAAAAAGGGCCGACCTAAGCAAGACGATAGCAGCATGCAGCAAGAGATGGCAGCGAGCGGTTTTGGTGGAGACCAAGGTTTCGAGCCTTATGTTTTCTATGCGTTCGAAATCATATGATTTGTACATTATGCTGCTGACAACCCACGATACCATAGCAAAATGCATGTGCCGTGGCACCGGGCCAGGGAAGTGTCGTCCAGGATGTGCGTACATGGCATCCACCTGTACCAAGCCGTGTTCCTCAAAGCAACTGGATTAAAGTTCTGCGCAGGAAGTGTTTCCAGCGCGACTTGATGTATCGAGCTGCATGTATCCGCGCAGTATCCACATCTCTACACGTTTATTGCGAATATCCGCGGTCTTCGTTTCACCTCCCTTGACTCTTAGTACCACCCTCACGCTCCCTTCCCATCTCATCAAGAAACTCACCAACAATACTCAAGCTCAGAACATCACCGCCACCTTCTACGACCACATCCGCTCAACATATCATGCCCCACCTCAGAGTCGCCCCTGAACTCTGCACGTCATGTCCGGAGACGTGGTTCACGATTCGAAAGAGATTCACACGAGCGTGATAAGACTGCTCCGAGAAGTTCGATGAGGTTGTGGCTGAACAATTATGGTATTCATAGAGCGCTGCTACTTACCTGGGCTGGTCAATGGTAGGGACCGACCCAAACCTGGCACTTATACCGAGCCCCAGCTGCCCGCCCGAGCCCCAGCATAACCGAGGATTACGAGATCGACTGTTCCTAACAAAATCGCGTATAGAAGCGGATAATCGCGTCGCTGCAGGCCCCGCCAGCCGGGCAACTACTGCAATACTGCTGCTAGCTATGAAGCCAAAGTTTATTAGCAAATTAGTAGTATAGCATAATTGAAGGTATTATTAGTTGTTAGCTATCTACTTAGGCCTAAGCGGATTGCGACCTACCGCCTTGTAACTACGCGAGGCTATATATACTAGCTTATACTAATCTCTTACTTACTAACTTGCTTGCTAACTAGACTATATATAATACTAATAGTACTATTACTATAGTATATTCTAATAAAGTAGTGCTTAACTATTCTAATAAAGTAGTGCTTAACGCACTAGCGGCTATATAAGTAAGTACTAATACTACTACTACTACTGCTAAGCTCGCTATCGTTATTGCTATTTAAACAATGCCGCCTACTACTATTTAAACAATGCCGCCTACTAACGACTATATTTAAGCTACTAGAGCGAGCGCTATTCTTCGCGTGCCTTTAGCTCGTAAAGCTCTTAGCGTAGAATATCGAGCTTAGAAGGAGGTTACGGAGCCTCTAGAAGTAAAGGATTAGTACGTAGATTATAGTACTCGAAGCTAGCTAGATAGTAGGTAGAGCTATACGCGCGGTCGGCCTTCTAGCAAAGGCACTATTAAGTGCGGCATTAGCTCTTTACGCACTTATAGTACTTAACGGTCGTTCTTAGCTAAGTAAGTAATACGCTAGGCTCGAGTACGAAGTTAGCTATTCTCGCTATTACTGTCTTCTACTTCTTAGCAACTATAGTCTTATTTAAGTCGTCTAATTCTCGAGCCGTTTGTATACGCTTCGTTAAGTATAGTATCGCTCCGCTAGTTATAGGTTTACAGTTGCTAAATACTATTATAGGCTCTTATAGACGTAGCAACTTCGAGAAGTCGATAAACTAGTAAGCGTAGAAGTAAGAAGGCAATAGTACTACACGGCTTCCGCCTATCTCTAGTAGACGTATAATCTCGTGCTTATAAGGATAGCTATAGGTCTTAGTAAGGTAATCGTTGCAGGTATAGTAAAGACAGCTATACGAGTAGCCTAAGTGCTTAATCTCGTTACTATTGTCGTTAGTTATAGTCCTTAGAAGGGCTATAGTACGTACGTATTGCTACTGTACTTCGAGAAGACAATAGTCGCTAATTACTCGAGAGATACTCGCCTAGAATAGACTAACTACGGCCTTATTATAGCGCTTCCGGTTGTTAGTAATAGTATAGCGACGACGATCGTAACCCTCGCTCTACTACTTAATTAGTGCCTCGAAGAGTATAAAGATATCGTAGCGACTGCTATAGTTTAGCTAGAGTTTAATCCTTCTATAATAGGACTTAACTCGCGAGGTTGTCTTATAGCCGAAGTAAAGTACTTCGTTAGTCTAGCAGTCGACTATTCGTTACTTATAGCGCTACTAGTTCTTATAAAGATAGGCCTTGAATATAGGATAAACGTTATCTAGTTTATTAACGTTGCTATTAAACTCGGCCTCGGTTTGACTATAGATCGTATAAGTAAAGAGCTTTAAAAACCGGGTAGTTTGAATACTATTAGTCTAGCCGCTATTATCGTCCTTAACCTATCTAAACTCGCTACGTTCTTTACGTATTCGAGCGAGAATATCTTGCTATAGATGCTAGTTACAAACGATGTTCTTAGCGTTAGGAAACACCTCCTTATAAGCGAGCATTAATGCCTCTTTACGGTTAGTGCCTATTACGATAGGTAAAGCGCATCTAGCGGCCTTAAGAGCCGTCTTAATAGACTTAAGAAGCTATATAAAGTTAGCCTTCTCGGGCTTCGGTTTAATAAGGCTAACGCTAAGCTTAATCGTATTATTTATTAGTCTAGTAGCGACAATATCTAGTAACTCGAGGTTGTATAGATTAGTCGAATATATCGTGTCTAGTATAATAGTATACAGCGTTAGCTTATAGGCTTCAATTAATACTAGATAGAGCGCTACTATAGATTTAATAGCGCTATTAGGTCTAGTTTAAATATCCTTATAGATATCGTGTTTCTCGAGTAGTTAGACTATTCGCTCTACCTAGTTAGCTTCTCGTCGCTTACTAAGGTTACGGAGCTAGGCAATATTATATAGATCTTGTAGTTTAATAAGAACGTTACGGCCTTAGAAGTAGGCTATTATCTTAGAGGTTAGCATTCGCGTAGATTAAAGCCTCTCGAGTTAAGCGAGGAATTTAGTCGTTCTTAAGCGACTTCTATATATAGTAAGGCTTATAACGTCGTCGGGTTTATAGTTATAAATATAGTATGCTTCTTCGCTAGAGTAACAGATAGTCTAGCTACTAGAAGGGTTAAAAGGGTCGATAGCAATAGCGTAGAAGTAGAACTAACAACCTATTTTCTTAGTTGTTATCTTCCGCTAAGTCGTATTCTAGGTACGTTTGTCGGGCTAACTAAAGTAACTATATATATATAAATAGCGGTATTTAATACCTTTGCTATTCTTCCGTAGCTTCTACTCCTTAAACTCGTACTCCTTCGTCTTTCTAAACTCTTCTTATATATACCTCTCTAGCGCTTAATAAGACGGAAAGTTATCCTCTCGCGATATTAGACTATAGCGGCGCGCCTTCTTCGAGAATAGGTGCTTCTAAGGGCGCGGCGATACTAATCTATTGTTAGGTAACGATATACGCTCGCGAGGAAAGCTTAGTAAGCGACTGCGACCTCGAATACGTATCTCCGAGACTAATTAGACCTCCTTCTACGACTTAATATCTACCGCCGCTGCCGCTACTACCGCTACCGCCGCCGCCGCCGCCGCTGCCGTCGATTGCGCGCCTTCTACTACTATATCTATCGATTGCGCGTCTTCCGCCGCCGTCGATTACGCGCCTTCTACTACTATATCTATCGATTACGCGTCTTCCGCTACCGTCGATTACGCGCCTTCTACTACTATATCTATCGATTACGCGTCTTCCGCTACTGCTACTACTGCATCGTTACCGCCGCTAGCGATAAGATTATCGAGAAACTCGTCGTATAATAGAGATTTAGCTATTTTCGATAGTTACTAGGTAATCTACTATAAAAGGGGAAAGAAATACGAATTTTAGGTCTATAGTAGATTCGAGTAGAATTCCTTCCTAGGTAACGCGCTACGCGCCTATTAGCAACACTAACTAAGAACGTAAACACGCTATATTAGGCGGAAATACTACGTAATTTATAAGATATTAATATAGACGCGATTCTATATTAGTACTAGTACTAGGGCTCGGGCGGGCAGCTAGGGCTCGGTATAAGTGCTAGGCGACCTAAATAATAGTTGTTACGTATGCTAATTAGCGGGGTGAGTCATAGAGGAAAGAGAGTTTAATAGTGAGATGATAATGAGAGGGATCAAGATCTCGTGCCAAGACTTCATTGAACCCTGCATCGGCTGCTACAGTAATACATAAGTCTGTGCCATTGACCGTGACTCAAAGAATTTCAAGGCTCGTGCATAGTAACGATAAACACGCACCTCTTTTCCTTCGACTCTCACAAATCTCTCACCTCCCGATCCGGCTGAACTCGCCCCATTGAACAACATCACGTCTGCCGCACTCGTCCATCGGTCCACATTTCTGACATCCTAGACGGCTGAGCCCGCCGCTGCAAAACCGCAAACATGGCGGACGGCATTCGAAAGGCCTTTGCTAGGGCCAAAAGCGAGGGCAGGCCGGCATTGGTGACATATACCACCGCCGGCTATCCCACAATCGCTGAGACTCCAGACATTCTGCTTTCCATGGAAGCAGGCGGAGCAGATGTGATCGAACTCGGCACACCTTTCACAGACCCAATCGCAGACGGACCAACCATCCAGACGGCAAACACACAAGCATTGGCAAATGGCACCACGACAAAACACTGCCTTCAGATCGTAAGAGATGCGAGGAGTCGAGGCCTTTCAGCGCCGGTACTGTTGATGGGATACTACAATCCTTTGCTTGCATATGGAGAAGAGCGCATGCTTCAGGATGCAAAGGCTGCAGGCGTCAATGGCTTCATCATGGTTGATCTTCCGCCAGAGGAGGCTGTTCGCTTTAGACATCACTGCACAACCTACGGGCTCTCGTATGTGCCATTGATCGCTCCCGCGACCAGTGAGAAGCGCATGAAGTTGCTGTGTAGCATTGCAGACTCCTTCATCTACGTTGTGTCGAGAATGGGTGTCACTGGTGCTACTGGTGCATTGAGCAGTGGGCTGCCAGATCTATTGGAGCGAGTGCACAAGTACTCCAACGGCGCACCAGCGGCGGTAGGCTTCGGCGTGAGCACACGCGAGCACTTCGTCGAGGTTGGCAAGGTTTCGGAAGGTGTTGTGATCGGTAGCCAGATCATCACCACGATCAAGAACGCTGGCCCGAGCAAGGGCGCAAAGGCGGTGGAAGAGTACTGCTACTCGATCACACAGCGAAGAAACTCCCGCTTATCCCCGCCCACGAACGGCCACAGCATATCCACCGACGCCAACGTGAACGGCGATGGCAGCGGTTGGATCAACAAGACGAATGGTGAAGCTCCAAAAGAGATCTCGACCGCAGACCCAACAAAGCGACCAGCCAGTGAAAGCGACCCTTCGAATGGCACTGTACATGTCGACGGCGTTATCAAGGAGTCTAATGGACCAGGACTTGCCGATCAGCTTGAAGCATTGAACACCGAGACTAAGGATCCGGAATTGATGCCAAAGAGGTTCGGCCAGTTCGGTGGTCAATATGTGCCAGAATCGCTCATGGACTGCTTGACTGAACTTGAAAAGGGCTTTGACGATGCGCGCAACGATCCGAAATTCTGGGAGGAATTCAGATCATACTACCCATACATGAGCAGACCGTCAACACTGCACAAAGCCGAGCGCGTGACAGAATACGTTCGAAAGCACGCGAAATCGGGCTTTGGAGCCAACGTATATCTGAAGCGCGAGGATCTTAACCACACTGGATCACACAAGATCAACAATGCCATCGGCCAAATACTCATTGCACGGAGGTTAGGCAAGACTGAGATCATCGCGGAGACTGGCGCGGGTCAGCACGGTGTAGCCACTGCTACTGTCTGCGCACGATTTGGCATGAAGTGCACTGTCTACATGGGAGCTGAAGACGTCCGAAGACAGGCTCTCAACGTTTTCCGCATGAAGCTGTTGGGTGCATCGGTCGTCGCTGTCGAGGCTGGCTCACGGACACTGCGAGACGCTGTCAATGAGGCTCTGCGGAAATGGGTAGAGAAGCTCGACACTACACACTACATCATCGGTTCTGCAATTGGTCCTCATCCTTTCCCAACTATGGTGCGAACCTTCCAAAGCGTAATTGGAAACGAGACGAAGGAACAGATGCACGCGCTTACAGGCCGGCTACCCGATGCTGTTGTCGCATGTGTTGGCGGCGGCAGCAACGCAACCGGAATGTTCTATCCATTCTCGCAGGATCCTAGCGTCGAGCTCCTTGGTGTCGAAGCAGGCGGAGATGGTGTGGACACACCCAAGCACAGCGCTACTCTTACTGGCGGCAAGCCCGGCGTTCTCCACGGCGTCCGAACATATATCCTTCAAAGCGAAGAAGGTCAGATACAAGACACCCATTCCGTCTCAGCAGGTCTGGACTATCCTGGTGTCGGACCGGAACTTTCAGGCTGGAAAGATAGCTCTCGTGCCAAATTCATCGCTGCCACCGATGCCGAAGCATTCATCGGCTTCAAGCTTCTTTCAGAACTCGAGGGCATCATCCCAGCGCTGGAGACTAGTCATGCTGTCTACGGAGCTATCGAGCTCGCCAAGACGAAGAAGCAAGAAGAGAACATCGTGATCTGTCTCTCGGGTAGAGGAGACAAGGATGTTCAATCTGTCGCCGAGGAGCTGCCCACCATTGGGCCGAAGATTGGTTGGGATCTGAGGTTCTAGGTCAATGATGCACAGGCTCTTCGATTCTCGCAACGACTTTGGGAGAAGTTTTTGATATTTCTGCATATATCCAAAGCGCGCTCTTGGGACAGGGATGGGATGGATAACTTAATGTCTGCGCAAAGTGCGTGTCGCTCATTACCAATAGATACCAATGCCAGTACCAGCTCGAAAGAGCTGATGGAGCTCAGATGTTCTGAGCCTTATATTTACCATCAACCTCCCATCTCCAAGCTCGTGCATTTCGTCTTCAATTGTATGGCGCAGGCCTGCTCGACCGGCCCACAGACATCCTAACGCCAAGGTGTGAGTATTCAAACAAGCCGAAGCATTCGACCGACACGAGCTAGGTAATCCGCCAAATCGAGCGCTGGAAATGCAAACTTGGCCTGGAGACCGTATCAGTGCCGAGCTCAGCGCAGAACCCAACCCTTCTGCACGATATCTGCTGTCCTGTCCTGTCCTGTATTGAATGGGGAGAAAAAATTTGTAAGGATTTCGGGGCCACGGGGAGAATGGTGAAGTGATTCTCTTGATGTTCCTTTGGCAGAAAGCAATTACGTGTTCAAGCACAGCGAGAGAGGATGGGTGGAATGGCTTGTCGAGGGCTGAGAGGAAGATGAAAACGAAAGTTTTATGTTTGACAGAATAGGGAGAAGTTTTGCGCCAGATCAAAGTAGCGAGCGATTGCGCTATGATTCTGTAGAATATTCAATGCTATGTTATGCTAATGCTGATGCCAGTTCCAACGCCAATGCGATTCGTATTTCGCAACCCGGGATAGCGCCAATGTGCACATGCCTACTCATATCTAACAAGCCGCTCCATCAACGCCACAGAAACCAAAATGACCTGTCAGAGTGGCGACGGGACCAGACGACGTCGTTTCGACCGTCTTCTCCTCGGTCGTGATTGAGAGGAGAGTCGTTGCAGAAGTTTGGAAGTCGGGGACCATGGTGAGAGCTGCTCGGTTCGCAGAGGATTGAGCGTAGACTGATGACCAGGCTGCGGACTCTTCGGGAGACATGCCGGAGGATGTAGATGTGGTGGTGCTCGACTCCGTTGTAGATGCTGTGGATACCGAGACGCTGACGGAAACGCTGATGTCGGTGACAGTCTCTCTGCCAGGGGACGTAGTCAATTCGGGTTGAGAAAGTGTCGTGGTGAGCGTCGTGATCGGAGTGGAGGTCGAGGTTGGCGTTGGCGTTACTGTCACGTAGACTGTGCTAGGAGCAATAGTCGTGATGGTGAGTGGCGCAGCGCTGAAAGCCGTGTCTGTAATTGATCGAGTCTGCATGAAAGTGGTCTGATTAAGACTCATGGTTAGCTTCGTTACAGGCTTGAGTACGGTGAAGTTCTGGGCGGGAGAAGAGCTTACCTTTTCAGATGTTGAGTTCTTTCGCAGAAGGACCACGACGACTAGAGGTAGGATGAGAGCAAGGCAGATGATGGTAACGATGACTGCAATCAGCCATTCGCGCTTCATGCATCGGCGTTCGGTATGCTTGGGTTCCTGGATGTGGTCGAACGCTTGGGGATTGGCTTGGCCTTCTGGCTCTCCGAAGCCGCGCATGTTGTCGTTGACTGCTCGCTCGTAGGATGGGAGGAAGCTTGCGTGAGTGGAGGTATGTGCAGCACTCGGCTGCTGAATGAAGCCTTGGGCGTTTGCGCCCTTCTCGACGTCGGAGGTGAACATCTTCGGAGTGTTGGTGGATGATTGGTAGGTAGATCGTGTTGTGCTCGTCTTGTCGATTGCTGTGTGGTATGAGATCATGTATGAGCGGTCGCTGAAATACGTGCTAATCTGGTGTGCAGAACTCGAAGATGATAGCGGTGGCAGAGAGTAAGAAGGAGGATGAGTTGCTTTTCAAGGTCGAGATATAGGTGCTTCATCCGCCAGTGACTATCGAGCAAGTGACAATGCATTGTGACTTTATCGTCAAAGAGATTTTGTCAAGAAAAGGCGAAATCAATGGCTTTGTGAATCCTCTCAATAAGGAACTTATTGAGGAGGGGGGCAGTTCACCTGCGAAATCTTATTGACGGGAACTCCCGCTTTCTGTTTTTCACGGAGAGCCATTCACTTGAGTCAATTTAGGAGCAACCCCGCAACGGCAGCATTTGCAAGGCCGATGTTCTAGGAAGCCCGAAGGTCCCAATATGGCCACCGCGGTACAGTGGCGCTTGATTGACATTCTTCTGCTTTTTCTGACCAAATGTGTTTCTTGCTTGTGACAGTGCCAAGCCACAGCGATTCTTGGTTTGTGATGGCGACGTCTGTTCCGATGCTGTAGGACTGCAGGCTGGAAGAGGTAGGCGTGTGCACAGAGTGAAGTCCTTGGCTCTATAAAAAGCCTCTTGGTGAGCAAGTCCCGTTACCTCACGCAGTCATCCCTACGCCCATCTGGACGACAGACCTGCTGTTCTCGATAAACGCATGTCCGTACCGCGATGGTGACGTTGGAGCTACTCTCGCGTGCTGTTGATGTCATGCGAATGTAGATGCACAGAGTGCCTCCCTCGCTGTGAGATGTGAGAAAAGCGAGAAAACACATGTCGTAGGAGCGACAAGTGAGGTGGGCGTCAGCGAAGGATATGGAGCGCGGTCGCTTGGAGTGGTCTGTAAATATCGAGGGAGGCTAAGAAAGCTAGGTGGTCGGTGTTGCCACTTGAGGAGCACCAGCCGCCTGTCTTGTGCAAGATACGGAGGTGTTCCAAGGTTTTTTGACAACGTGCAGGCCTTGCTAGCGGCATCGGCATCGGTTTTGCAGTGTCTATTTTGGGGGGCGGGGCGGGGCGGGACGGGGCGGGGCGTCGTCGGCAACAGCGATGTCCTTGCAGAAACAACGATGCTGTAGGACATTATTATTCATAGCAAGCATCACCGCAACAAAGCATTGCTATTCGGAGACGTGGCTAGTACTGTGTGTGTTGATCGCTGATGATGGTAGTAGGAGGGAAAGGGAAAGGCTGGAGGATGGGAAGAATAATGTTTTCCGGGGGAGGCTTGGGGCTTGCGCAGGCCGACCAGGGGCCTTCTGTCTCAGTCAGATTGTTGATCGACGACCAGCGCTGGCCAAGTGATAAGTTAGATACTGCTAGCTCTCCCCATTCCCATCCTCCCACCTCGACGTCGTATTTGTATGTGTAGCGTGGGACAGAATGAGTGCCACCATCGAAGCCATTGCCACTGCTTCTCCCGACGAAAGTTTAAGCTCGCTCGCAGCTGCAGCGGCACATTTACCCTCCACCGACACCTCTGATCTGCCCACCACTCCCGCCGCCACTCCGGCCACTATCCGCAATCACGCTCCTGGTATACCGGACAGGAGAAAGAGTCTGCGACCAAGTCCGAGTGGGAGAGCCTCGCGAGGCAGCCGAAAGAGCAGCGGCATTTCAATAAAGGTAACAATGGCCGACATGGCCTCGGAGATGCGCATGAAAGACAGCGAAGAAGATGCAGACACATTCGAAGATGCCGCCGAAACAACAACAACAACAACAACAACGCCCAGACCTGCGGCTACCAGCGAACCAGATGCCAATGCAGGTGCAACCAAAGAAACAGCCACGGCCACGGCAACACAGAACGGACGCTCCAACACTTCTGGCGCAAACCATGCAGGAACTGCGTCCGTCGAGAACAGTGATCCGCAGAAGCAGACGTCCGCACAACACCAGGCACAGTCACAAGCAGACGCACATTCGCGCACTTCCACCCTCGACAGAAAGCCAAGCCTTCCACCTTCCCGCGAGAGAAGCGTGTCTCCAAGCAAGGTGAATTCAGGGCGTGCATCGCCTGTCCGCACCATGCGTGGCCTTTCTGGAGATGTTACAGCTCCTGCCATGCCGCCGCCCTCGACCACCGAACGCAGACACAATTTGGAACAGCGAGATTCAGCAACATCACCGCCTCCACAGCCTGGCAACTTCGCGCGAAAAGCCTCGAGCGGCTTCGGAGCTCTTCTGGGCAGGATGGGTAGTATAAGAAAGCCTGCGAGATCGCCTCCTGCTCCTCGGGGAGAGAGGCGGAATACAGCTGCCTCAACAACGTCAGTCGAAAGCAATGGCATGTCGACCATTCACGATGCGGGAAAGCCAAGCTTGCAGGATCAGTTCTCCAATCTGCGAAGGCAAGAGGAAACCAGTGCAGGTGAAGCTAGTGGGCATGTGATACACGAAGATGACGAGAAGACGCCAGTACAAGCCTCACCAGGCGATGCAGCTTCACCTCCTGATAGTCCGCATCCAAACGCTCTCAAGTCGCCAACCCTGAACCCTAGCTTACCCCCTGGAACGGCGTCTGGCATGTTGGTGGGACCGTCGCAAGAGCCACGCGAAGTCAATTGGGATCTTTGGCAACAGCTCGTGTACGAAGGCCCGAAGGCTGTCTCGAGGACAGGAGAAGGTGGGCTGAACGAGGCTGTGCAGGCTGGTATCCCTCCTGCCATAAGAGGTGTTGTTTGGCAGGTTCTGGCCGAGAGCAAGAATGAAGAACTGGAGAACATGTACAGAACGCTGAAGGCTAGAGGCACTGAAGCGGAACCCAAACCTGCACACTCGAGGTCTGGGTCAACTGTAGGCATGAACGGCAGCACAACGGACAAGGACGATGTCAAGTCGGACGCGTCCAGTGATCATTCGGTGCACTCAGCCAATTCGGGTGTCGCAAGCCCTCCGACGTCCGTAGAAAGCGCGCCGGAAGCGAAGTCCAATCTTCTCGCGGAGAAGCAGAAGAGGGAAGCAGCTGCGCTGCAGAAGCTCGAGAAAGCGATCAAGCGTGACATGGGCACTCGCACATCATACAGCAAGTACACGCAATCCGCCGGCCTTCAAGATGGGCTCTTTGGAGTGTGCAAGGTATACGCGCTTTTCGATGAAGGCGTGGGATATGCTCAAGGCATCAATTTCATTGCAATGCCACTGCTCTTCAACATGAGCGAGGAAGAGGCCTTCACGTTGCTGTACCGGCTCATGAGCAAGTACGACCTCCGAAGCATGTTCACGCCCGACATGCTCGGACTTCATCTGCGACTATATCAATTCGAGCGGCTGCTGGAAGAAATGGAGCCTGCGATCTACTGCCACCTTCGAAGACGACATGTTGGGCCAGACCTCTACGCAACACAGTGGTTCCTCACTCTCTTCGCATATCGATTCCCACTTCAGCTTGTGCTGAGAATATACGATCTGATCTTCAGCGAAGGCCTGACAGCCATTCTCAAGTTCGGGATTGTGCTGATGCAACGAAACCGCGATGCTCTTCTCAGTATGAAGGATATGGGACAATTGACAAATTTCCTCAAGGAAAGGCTCTTCGACGTATACATTGACAAGTCACCATCTGCCTCGTCGCTACTGGACTCAGGATTCTTCGGGTCCGTCACAGGCGGTGCCGACAAAGAGCTCTATAGAGCAGACGAGATGGTTCGGGACGCGTGCACTGTGCAGATCTCCGAAGAGCAGCTCAAAGCCTACACTGTCGAGTGGGAAGAGTTACAAAAAGAACAGCGTGAGCGTGAAGCAGAGATACAGAATTTGCGAGTAACGAACATGTCGCTCACCAACAGAGTCAAGTTGTTGGAGGATCGTGTGCAGCAGCATGACTCGGAACATGTGACTATTGCACAAGACCTCGTCCGCATCAAGGTTGAGAACGATTCACTACAAGACACCAACGAGGCCCTGAAACTACAGGTCATCGAACTCCAGAAGATGGTCGATGCTCAACCGGCTGAGGTGGAAGCCAAGCTGAAGAACGAGATGGAGCGGATTATGCAACGGAATATCGAAGTGCAGAATGAGAACCGTGCGTTGAGGGAAGAGCTCGATGAGATGGAGCATGAGGTTGTGAATGCCAAAATGGGGCACGCACAAGTAAGTCGCAGTCCATCTACAGTTTCTCTATTCATTTTGCTAACAACGCACGCCATCAGACACAAACAGAGTACGACGCATTAAAGCAGAAATGGATGAGCGTGCAAGCTCTTCTGAATGATGATAAGCAGTAAGACTGCGACGACGGGCGGGGCATCTTGGGACGGAGTATTGCAATCATCAATGAAATCATGCGAGGCTGCCGGCAGCGGCATCTTTTGTATAACATCGGCGTCTGGATATACACGGCGTGGACTGGGAGGGGAGCGTCCACTGCTCTGATGAACGGTTGGCTATTCATGACGCTTTTGTACAGCTGACAGCATGGGGTGATAAGGTAGAGCTATGTGAGAAGCAGGAATGCGATATTGTTGAAGGATGGATAGCGCGGGTCATCTGGTCCTGGTCGACTTCAGGTTGCTATTCTGATGGCTGCCCACAAGCGCAAAGCTGCACAGCTCAACTCTATCCACTTGTTGGACTGTGTGTGTGTGTGAGTGGTGTGGTTCATCACGTGCATAATGCCTGAGGCTGCAACTGCTGCACTGCAATCGTTATTGAAGCGGGAGCGCGCCAACGTTAAGAGACGAGGTGGCCCATTTGAGCCTTGCCAATGAGCAGCTGCAGGTATGCCTCACAAGTCACATTGTTGTGGGAGGGCCGCACTGCACAGCTCTAGGTCTAAGCCACATGAGCCTTTCCTACGAGTACTCACACATCACGTCCTACCCTTCGAAATGAGCACGACACGCGATCACTCAATGCGTCTACTGAACACTTCAGGAAGTCTTATTTCGGCGGTATTTTCCAGATACCCTGGCCTGCCGATGGTGACGGAGTTCCTGGTACGCTTCCTATGCGCAGCCTTGATCATGGCTCGGAATCTATCAGCTATGTGCGGATCTTCATTCTAATTGAAACGATGTCAGAAAACTTCACGGCTGCAGCGATTATTCCGGATCCGGACCAGTCAAAGATGTCGAAAGCCAACCAATCTGACGCGAAATTTGCGCCTGTCGAGATAGTTGGTGGTACACAGAAGTCCCATCAGGCTTCGCCAGCGGATCCGGTGAAGCTACAGGAAATCTACTATAGAGCACTTGACGATCTATCTTCTCGAAGTGTCATCGATTTTCGATGCCTGTACACATTCGACGCTAACGTCCTAGTACACTCAATTGGCCACATAACTAGCGACTACAGCCCTACTTATGAAGAAGTTGTCGACTATCACTTACACAACGCGTGGAACGCAATGCAGTACTTCGACCACGACCACCAATTTTCTTGGCCCCCTTGTGACTGGACGTGCCGAGAATGTCACGGTTTCGGGTACTCTAACAAGCAAAATGACAAGACCGAAGTTGAAAAGCTATGGGCGGGCGTAAGAAGATCCTTCTGGTCTCTGAATATCGCGCGCAACATAACAGGCGACGATGAGTCGATTGCAATAACAGCTCGCAGACTGCGCAGATTTTCGCGCTATCTGTCCTGGGCAGACGCACAAGCTTTCGTGAAAGTGGCAGCGGAGCCGATTTCTGAAAACGATACTAGAGGTCGATGTAGATACTGCTACGGTAAAGGGATTACCCTTAGGGGGAGGACCTCTCGGGCGTTCGATTAAAAACTCTCGTAAAGGAGCGAGCGAGTAAGAAGTTGGGATGCTTTTGTGCTGTTTCATTGTATTGACAATTTAGCTTCAGTCCTGCTAGAAAGTGCGTTGTGTGTGAATGTAAGAACGACCTGCAGCAATGTGGTCCATTTGACCTTCGTCTCCTTCGACCGCTAAGAGCATTTGGATTTTATCTCGAGCGGCAAGACAGACAGCAAGAACACCATGAGGAAGGGAACTTGGTAATTTTTTGTCTTGAAGAGGTAGAAGATAAGTGACGGGACTGTCCGGCAAACGTCAGCATTCCTGTAAACATGATCATTTTCTTCGAGACCAACGCGCCGCGCTATGCGAGCTTCTATGTCTGCTCGATCGTCCTCGAGCGTCTATGATACATGGCGTAATGCGAGTTTTCATCATACAGCGTGACTCCCAACGATCCTTCAAGCACGCTCACTTCCTCGCAAACGAACGACTTGGCCATACTTCTGGAGCTTCGTGATGAGGTGGTCACCTTGTCGAACTACATCGTTGTACCTGGACCGTAAGTTAGTTGGTGTTAGGAAAGTATGGATGCTGCGACTTACTGCTTGTTCTTGTCATCAGCACGTTGAGTCGCGATGACACCACGCACTCTGTCAATCGTGCACGGAAGACGGTCCGAAGCAATAAATGGGGCGAGGTCTTTGTCCAACCAGTCCACCGAAACACCAAAGCTGCCGGCCATGGATGCCAGACTGACGACCTTGTAGCTTTGAAGGAGTTGCGCATAAGCGCGCAACCTCATCTCGCGCACAAACCAGCTCTTGTGCTCGTACAGATATCGGTCCTTGGCCAGGAAGTTCTGCTCCACGGCAGCGAGGGCTGTGAAGAAGCTGGAGTAGTTGCCAGAGTAGAGGCTCTGAATCATGTTTGCGAGCGGCTTGAAGTCGATCTTTGGTTCTGCTTTGGCTTGTGCCTCTGCAGAGGCCGAGCCAGATGCCAGAGTGGTGAGATTGACCGCAGTTGGCTTGGTTGTTGCGGCGTCATCAACAGCCATGCCTTCCTCCTCACCAGCTGCGAGGCCTGAGGAAGGAGCGCCACCAAGAGCAGAAAGTCGATCGGAGTCAGACTCGCTGCCAAAGATCGCTCGTACTTCTGGCGCATCGACAACTTTAGTCTTGAAGTCACGACGAGGTAAGCTGATGGATCCAGCGAGTGTGGCGTAGACAACGAGGGAGCTGTACGAGCACAGCTCAGATGATGTGAAGGTCGATAGCGAGTCGAGAAGGAGAGGTGCGGCAAGATTGTGAGCGCGAATGGTGAGCAGGTGCAGACCATTGTATGCCTTGAGACGATTTCTTCGATCCCAGTCTCCACCACTCTCCACCAACTGTTGTGCGCGATCGACATTCTTCTTCACCGAGATCTTGTCGTCGAAGAATAAGCCGATTCGAATGAGAGCCAGGACGATGTCAATCTTGGTGCCCAGAATGCTGGTCTTTTCAAGCAACTTCTCGAACTCTTCGACAGCCTTGTCCTTGTCACCCACACGTGCATAGAACTCAGCTCTCTTGCCGCGCGCATTCTGAATCTCGGTCTCGCCTGCCTGCTCAACAGCCTCGTCCTCCTCTTTCTGGATCTCAGCCAGCTCCTTCTCGTTGTCTGCTTTCAGCTCCTCGTACAGCTTCTCATCCCACGGAAGCTCGACACTCGTGTCGGTCTTGCCACCGAGCACACCCACTATTGATGGGGCATTGATGCTGCTCGTCCGGCGTAACATGTGGAAAGGCGATGGAGCGGATGTGTTGGTGTTGGCTCTGCTGATGACGGGCGAGAGGACTGCGCTTCCAGTGCCGGGTCCGTTCAGCTTGCCGGTGTCTGGATGTGAGAGGTAGGCGTACAGCGGCGCCATCTTGTGCTCTTTGATGCCATCTTGGAGATCCTTCAGCGCGGTCTGCTTGGCATTCGAGTCGGTGGAAGGCGATGCAAGCGAGAAGACGTTCTGGGCCAGAGACAGCTTGGGGTATGTCAAGTATTGTGGTTCACCCATGTCGGGCGGCTGTGAGGTGGTGCTTGTGCGCTGTGTGGTCGATGGTCGGTATGGGGGAGAAGGTGTGAGTCTTGCGCGTATTGGCGTAGTCGATGCTCTCAGGCAGATGTGTTGATGCGTGTATGTTTGGTGACGGAGAAGGCAAGGCGATGCGATTGCACATGCGGCTCTGGCTGAGCAAGGTTCGTGTGGCCCTTGCAGAAGCTCCCGCGTGCTTGACGCAGGACTACCTACAACCTCAACTCTACATGACTTTACTTCCACCTCACTTCTTCTGACTACACGAATACGTTCGGCGACACTCATTGAGCGACTGTTCAAGCATTTGCAAAGACTGGAGCAACCTCAACACTGACACTGTCCAAGCAACACCGCCGCTATGGGCTCCGACGAGACTCCAGTAGACAGCACCACCCGCAGAACAGCACCAAAGCGAAAGCGCGAAACAGCAGCTTCACGAGCTTCCAAAGCCAGTAGAAACGCTACACCGAATGCATACTCACGTAGATCACCGCCTCGCGAAGAACTCGCCAGATCGAGAGATCCAGAAACTGAAGATGAAGCTGGTGCTTCTCCGCCAAGAAAGCTCAAGCGACCCGGTGCCGGTGCCAGGATTAATCTAGCAGCGCGGGAAGCTGCTGAGCGGGAACGGAGGCAGAGAGAAGAAGAGGAGAGGCGGAACATTCAAGGCAGATCACGCAATGCTGCAGAAGTCATTGCAGAGCACTATAATGCAGTCCCAGAACGAGGCCGGGAATGGCGTGGTACAGACAGTAAGATCAAGGGCATGAGGAGTCTGAACAATTGGATCAAGTCAACGCTCATTCAGAAGTTCTCGAGACCTGAAATACCCGTTCGAGATATGAAAGTCTTGGACATGGCATGTGGGAAGGGTGGTGATCTGGGGAAGTGGGAGAAGGCACCACAAGTACCCATTCTCTACGTTGGCTGCGACATTGCTGCCATTTCCATCCAGCAAGCAAAGGAGCGATACTCTTCGAACAACAGTCGGAACCGCTATAGAGGACCGCGCATGGATGCCCAGTTCTTTGTACACGACACATTCGCCCACTCCTTCATCGATATACCTCTGATTAGGAACATTGGCTTCAATCCGAATGTTGGACCGGGCGGCATCATCCAGGGAGGTATGGCAACTGGTGGCTTCGATGTGGTCAGCATGATGTTTGCGTTGCACTACTCCTTCGAGACAGAGGAGCTGGCACGAGGCATGTTGAAAAACGTGGCAGGAGCGCTGAAGAAGGGCGGAAGATTCATTGGCGTAATGCCGAACAGCGATGTCATCACAGCGCAGGTCAAACGACTTCTCGCAGCAGAGAGCACAGGCAAGACGCCAAACGGCACATCGACGCCCGCTCAGCCGAATGGCGCAGTTAGTGCCAAGGTGGAGGACGACGATGAGTGGGACCCTGAGAAGCCAGCAGAGGGCAGTGAGGACGGCGAGTGGGATCCTGAGAAGCCCAGCGACCCTCAATCAGCAGTGACTAATGGTGCTGACGACGACGACGATGACTGGGATCCTGAGAAGCCATCAGAGCCAGCCCCAGCTTCAGCACCAGTGGAACAACAACCCGCTACAAATGGTGAGGCACATTCCCCCGTCGATCCAGACCTTCCACCTCTGCAATGGGGAAATGACATCTACAATGTCAAATTTCCACGCCAGCAGCCACTCACCAAGAAGCCACTACCTCGAGATGGCATCTTCCGACCGCCGTTTGGATGGAGATATCACTACCACCTAGAAGAAGCCGTCGACGCGCCTGAATATGTCGTCCCGTGGGAGGCTTTCCGTGCTCTGGCAGAGGACTATGGCCTAGAATTGATGTATCGGAAGGGCTTCAGAGAAGTCTTCGAGGACGAGTCGGAAGACCACGAGCTCGGTATGCTGGCCGAGAGGATGAAAGTGCTCGATCGTGATCGGAGCAAACCGAATGGCGGACTTCTGGTATCGCCCGAGGAAATGGACGCTGCGGCATTCTACCATGCATTCTGCTTCTACAAGACTTGAATGGCATGGGTGATGCTGGATGGGCGAGACTTGAAGCTCATTTTAAACTTCTGATGCCAATTTCAATGCCAAGCATCACGATCTAGCTCGAAAGCTTGTCTCCATCGATCCATGCTAGGCCTTCCAACCACCACGACGAAACGGTCGACCTCCTGCGACTACACAACTTCTATGCTATGAAGAGTTGCTCCGAGCCACGTGTGAAGACGTGGTGGCACGCATGACAATATACATCCCGAGGTCAGCCCGCGGCCGGAACACGCTTTGAAACCAGGATGCTCGGAGGATACTTTCTGCTTCCCAAGAACCCGATAGGTGAAGATCTGATGTCGCAAACAAGTTGTCTTTGGTAAAACTTTGGCTCCTTCGCTTTCCTCCACGTATCTGGCGATCAGTGGGCCCAGTGGTGATTGGAGTCTGTTAAGCTTTTCGCTGCAGCTACTGACCTCTACCATTGTTGTAGCTGTAGCATACCATAGCCATGAAATAATCACACATGAAATAATCAGCATTGTCACAAATTCGTCTCCCCAGAATGGCGCCAGACCCGCGTCCAGATTCTCTCCGCTCTACACTTCACGAGCCTCCCAATACAAGCAGCTGCAGCACAGAGAAGGAGGAAACATACTTCGCTGTCCGCCACCCATTAACACCAGATACGCTGGTCCCAGATGACAATCTCATCGTCTACACCTCAGCTCTCAGTCCTCCCATCTCAGAGGGCCTAGGAGCACGTAACGAGTTTGGAGAATTCGTCCCCATCCCAACTCCGAAAGTCGTCACGCCAACCGAGATAGTCGCCATCGAAGAAAAAAGAAGCGCACGCACGCCACCACCATTACCACCGCCAGCTTTACCTCTGAATCTCAAAAACCATAAAATAGCGATCGCTTGTAATTGGATCCCGATCATTTTCTCGGGAGGATTTCTCCCGTAAGTCTTTTTTTTTCCCACCACATACATTGGCATCACATCACATACTCACTTCTCTAGACTCGTCTTCTACTTCCCCCTGCACTACACCACAACCCTCAACCTTCGCTACATCCTCACAATCCCTTTGGTCCTGACAGCAATCACAACCCTCTTCTCCCTCGCCTCGAGAATCTATAGTCTGGCGAAACCCGGATCGAAATGTCGCCCTCTTCATCCCAAAAATCATGATGAGATTAATACTACCAACTGGGACTTTTGGACCTTGGATTTCTTCACGTACAACTACCTCTTTGGATTTTTCCTCGTGACAATCCTCATCTCCATCGGAATCGGGATTTCAGCGACGAAACTCCGAATCGTGGCTTTGCCGTTGAGTGTTTTGGTGTTGTATATCTGTGCGGAGATGGTGATGGCGGAAATCGGGATTTGGGCGAAGTGGAAGGCGCCGTTTTGGATTTCTTCGATTCCGAAAGGGGGCGTGTTGAGGCCTGCGGTGTTTGTGATTGTGGAGGATGTGGTGGCGGTGGAGGGGAAGGGGGGGAGGGAGTGGAGAGAGGTTTGGGGGAAGAGGTACGAGGCTGATGAGGAGATGAGGAGGTTTTTGGGGGAGATGGATTTTGTTTGGGGGGTGAGTGGGTTGGGTTTGGTGGGTGGGATTTGGGGGGTTGTGTTTGGAGTGAGCAATTCTGAGGTGGGGTTTGTGGTTGGGTGGATTGCGCCTTGGGTTTGGGCGGGAGGGTTGACGGGGTTGACGATTTGGAGGGCGAAGGGAATGTTGGGGAGGAGTAGAAGAAGGTATGGAAATGCAGTGGCATACGAAGAGACGGCTTGAAGTTGTCTTAGATGGGTATAGCAGGAGGGGGGAGTCAGGTCGTCTAAGCTGATGTACTACGTCCCGGACCAGGTCGAAGATGTTGATGAGATATACTTCACTATGCAGCCTGTGAGGTCGATTCGGTCAAGGGAGGGAAGTAGTACAAGTCTTCATCGCCGCCAAGCATATCGACCCGGGATATCGGAATGAGGGTTTGTTCTGCGCCACATCCGGTCCTTTCGGTGGTGGAGAAGAAGGCGGCGCTGGTGTGCTGTGCCACTCGGCGTCAACGGAATCCGAATGCGACTGCATCGTCGACGCACTAGAACTAGTACTCTGACATGCAGCGGAGGAGAAGGCGTTCCGTGGTGCGCACAAGCTTAGAAGGTCATGCTCGACTCAGGCTGCAGGTCGCAGCCCCACACAAGCCACACCACATGCTTAATCCGCACACTGCCCCATGCGCAATAGACTTCTCGCTGTCCGCGGCGCACGTCATCTCATCTCACTCACTACTGAGCAGTTGCGCGCAGCTCCCGGCAGGTCCGTGGCGCTTTCACACGCACACGCGTATCACAGCAGTGCAGTGCGCGCTGCCTTGCGCATTCTTATACGCCTTCACGTCCGTGGCAGCACTCTTGATGAGTGAGTTCTGCCTTGCGTCGACGGATCTTGCCTCCTTGCTGCATCCATTCTTCTTCCCGATATTCTCAACATCCACCCCATGAAACAATTCCGTTGGATAGCAGCTTCGGCTGCCGCATTGCTGCCTTCAGTATCCGGTATGCCACTGCGAACAGGCGCGATACTTGCTGTTACGGTTGCTGACCTGCCCCAGGAACACCAGTGCAACTTTCGGAAAGGGAGGCGAGGGCCATCCTCGAACTCGCTGCCAGAGCCGCACCCGCGAACGACCCTCATGGCTACACCCCGCAGATCGTTGCTTGTCCTTCGGTGACTCCAACAATCAGAAGCGCGAGCGAGCTTTCACAGAACGAGAGGAATTGGACAGACCTGCGACGAAATGCCACCATAGAGCCAATGCGTGACTTCTTGAGTCGTATGAACATCACAGGCATTGACACGGACGCCTACATCGACGGTTTCGCAAATAATGCTTCGTTACTGCCCAATATCGGCATTGCCATTTCAGGAGGAGGTTACAGAGCTATGTTGAATGGCGCCGGCGTGCTTCAGGCATTCGACAACAGAACACCTAATGCTACTGCTACTGGCCAATTGGGGGGTTTGCTGCAAGCAGCTACATATCTGTCGGGTCTTTCCGGCGGTAGTTGGTTGGTGAGCACTCTGTACGGGAACAACTGGACGTCGGTCGCCGATATTATCGCCGCCGGCAACAGCTCAGGCCGTTCGGGAGTCTGGCGGCTTGCAAATACTATTTTCGAAGGCCCTCAAGGTGACGGACTTCATTTGCTTGACTCCATTGGTTATTACGCTACTTTGGGAGATGCGGTCCATGGGAAGGAGGCTGCTGGCTTCAACACCACCATTACCGATTACTGGGGACGAGCGCTGTCCTACCAGATGATCAACGCTATGGATGGTGGGCCTGCGTACACCTTCTCTTCCATCGCAGAGCAAGAGTGGTTCCGGCGGGGCGACGCCCCGTTGCCACTCATCACCATCGATAGTCGCAAGCCGGGTGAGACACTCGTGTCCACCAATTCCACCGTCTTTACTGTGTCGCCCTGGGAGATCGGCTCTGACGATCCAACCTTGTACGCCTTTGCACCTCTGCAGTACAGCGGTACAAACTTCTCGGCCGGCTCGCCAAAGAACGACGAGCGCTGCGTCGTTGGCTTCGACAACATTGGATACGTCTTCGGCACCAGCTCATCTCTCTTCAACGCCATCCTTACTACAGTCAATGGGACCAACACGACAGGCTGGACTTCGTCTGTTCTGCAAGGTGCCATTACCTCGATTCTGTCTGCCATCGGTAAGGATGAGGAGGACATTGCTTCGTGGCCAAATCCATTTGTCGACTACGACAAGGACACCAACTTCAACAACAACGAAATCGACCTCCACCTCGTGGACGGTGGCGAAGACGGACAGAATATTCCTCTGCACCCTCTGATCCAGCCAAACCGCAACGTCGACGTGATTTTTGCAGTAGACTCATCGGCCGACACCAACGATAGTTTCCCTACTACCGATTCTGCCCCAGGTTGGCCAGATGGAATCTCCATCATCACCACATATCAACGATCACTCTCGGACATTGGAAACGGCACTGCCTTCCCAAAAATCCCAAGCTTGAATACATTCATGAATCTTGGCCTGAACACCAAACCTGTCTTCTTTGGATGCGATGCTTCTCAGCTGGCTGGACCAGCGCCTCTGGTCGTCTACATGCCGAGTATGTTTTGCCAGCTCCTATATGTCACCACGATATGATACTGACCCTCTTCGCAGACGCGCCCTACGTCTACACCTCTAACACCAGCACTTTCCAAATGGAATATAACGATACTGAGCGAAACGCCATCGTCTTGAACGGTCACAACATGGCCACACTCGGCAATGGCACCGTCGACGGTCAATGGCCACAATGCGTAGGCTGTGCTGTCTTGAGCCGTAGCTTGAACAGGACTAAGACGAAAGTGCCGGATGTCTGCACCCAATGCTTTGTCAGGTACTGCTGGAACGGAACCGAGGACGACAGCACTCCAGGCAGATACAACCCTGCATTCAAGCTTCCAGCGGACAGTGTGATCAAGGTGACGAGCGGTGCAGGCACCGTTGCAGGTTCATCAACATCTTTTGCAATCTCCATTGCCATCATGGCTGGGATCTCACTCCTATGATGACACGAACCAGTTCGAGGAGAAATTTTGTGTTTTGTTTTAGGATAGATACCATCATGACCTGATTTGCATTAGCGGGCACCTGAAGGCATATCACTATCACCAGCAGGGATGACATTGAAATAAAGAAAAAGGTGAAGAAAAACCAAAAAAAAAATGAAATTTCTAATCAATCACACATCCATTTCCTATCCAGAACTCTCCATGGCCCAGCGAATATTCCTCTCCCTATACGTCGCAGTCCACGCCTCTATCCCTCTCGCCTCCTCCTCGGAAGAAACCCCCCTCTCCGGCGCCGAATGATAAATCAACTCCTCAAGATTCCCCACCACCACCTCCCCATTCCTCCCCCCTTTCACCCACCCCTCCCTCCCCACATGCTCGCTCTCCAAATCCGCCAGTTCCGAAAAACACCGCATAATCGTAGACATAGGCGTGATCTGATCGGCAGAGAACTTCTCCATTAACCCCGGAGGCGCCAAGCCCGTCGCCACCATGGCGGGACATACGGCGTTGATTGTGATGTTCCTCGGTGCGGATTGCGGGGCGAGAGCGCGGACGAGGGCGATCAGGGCGGTTTTGCTCGCGGTGTATTGCGGGACGACGGAGAGGGGGTAGATTGCTGCTCCGGAGGATGTGATGACGATTTTCCCGCCGGGAACGGGTTTGGAGGCGGATGGTAAAGAGAGGTAGTGGGCGGAGAGTTTGATGCCGTAGTATGCGCCGGAGAGGTTGGTGGTGAAGGTGGCCATGTTGGGGATTTTGGGGGGCTCCAGAAGCGAGATGGAGTTGAAGATGTCGTCGCGGTCGTCGATGCCGGCGTTGAGGGCGGTGAAGTCCAGGCGGTTGTGCCAGGCGTGGGCGCGCGAGAAGAGGGTGGATTGTTGGGGCCAGGAGGAGACGTCGGTTTGGATGAAGAGGGTGTTGTTGTTGTTGTTGGGGAGGGGTTCTTTGGGGGGGTTGATGTCGGCCATTACTACTTTCCAGTTGCGGTCCAGGAGGTATTTGGTTAGGGCTAGGCCTATGCCGCTGCTTGCTGGGGGGGTGTGTGAGTTGTTGGAGCTTTGCGAGATAGAAGTACTTACCGCCGGTGACGATTGCGACTGGGGATGACATGGTTGATTTTTATGCCTGCCTGCCTGCTTAAGTAGAAGTATCGGCTTGATTCCTTCGACGGGTCTTGCTAGATTACGAGCAGCATCACTTCTTATATATATCTCACTACTACACTTTGGAGAGAGCGGAGAAGAGCTGGCGACATCTGCCGGCATTCTGGTCAGCGGAGTGGTCCCGCTCCTGTTGGCCGACATGTCGTGGTGGAGAAGCTCAGGACTCATGGGTATGTCATGATAAAATGGACGCTGTGCCTTCACGAGACGTTGATGCCATCGAGAAGGGCGTCGGGGCCATGATAACACCTTGGCCGCTCGAGGAGCTTCATGTGGTAGATAGAATAGCCGATGCAGTAGCTCGACACGCCAGGCACCCCAACATGCTGCCTGCTCTGTCTTCACAATGTGTTCCCCGTCTGGACTAGAATAGGTCATGGGCAATGGCACGAGTCTGCTGGTGCTGGGGTTGCTGCTGTTCTTGACTTCTTCTGTTGCTGCTGGTGTTGTCGCTGAAATGCTGAGGGAAAACTTTGATGAAGGCTGAACGGCGATGACCTTGGCGCAACCAAGCTCAGACACATTTTGAAGAGCCATAACATCGACCACGCATCAACGACTTCGGGCCAACAATACTACCAGAACTACTACTGTCTCGCGTTCGGTCACGACACTACCACTACCACTACCACGAAGCGGAAGCGGCTGCGGCTGAGTCGCGTGGCTATACAATGGACTTGGTCGCGTCACGGCGGCTGATGTCTCACTTCTCCGCATCCTCTAGATCCTATTATCGTAGGTGTAACTTGACTTTCTCGCCCGCAGCTATAGGGAAACGCACAAGCGCTTTACGCGATGCATAGCTAGAGCTATGCGACATCAAACTATGGCAAGCACCTGCCGCGTCCAGGTGGTTATGTCGACCGTCAATCAATCCTCCTTCCATCAAGCGGTCACGACTACAGAACTCTGTCCCTTTCATCATCATGAATGGGTGCTGTGGACGACACGAAGATTTGTCGGTATGCCGTCAAAGGTCTGACTGCCTCCGACATGGCGCGCTTGGGACTACACCGATGTTGTCGTCTTTCGCTTCTGCCACTAACCAAGCGTGTACTATGTTGTGAATCGTGCTAAGGATGCAACTAATTATCGGATTAACAACTATGTAACTGTATAAAGAAGAATTAGGAGCCTGCTATAGAAACTGCAGTTAATATACCTATTGTATATCCTTCCTCTTAGTATAGGTTAGCTAATAGTATTAGCTGACTAGCATATTACCTAACTAAACTATAATACTCCCCCTTAGGTAGAGATAATGTACTATTTAGATTAGACACTTCAAATTTGGGCTTAGAGCTTTACTTTATCTTCTAACTGCCTTCAGATGTTAGACTATATCTGCTTTATATATAGCTTTATATACTATACTACTTATACGTACTTATATTACGTTGTTTGCTAATTGGTTTACTTTAGAGTAATGTCCTTAGTCGTAATTGTAGGGTTAGTAGGCGCCTATAAAAGACACTTAAACTTAACTAGACAACTTGAACTTTTATAATCTACTCTTTAGCAATCCCCTAAGCACTAGTAGCCTCTACTAGATTTTAAATTCTTACTAAGACCTTTTAAGTCTAATAGCTAGCTGAGACTTTATTATAGCGATAATTCTTTACCCTAGCCTAGAGAGTATAGCGAGTAGTATAGGTAGTAGTAGTAGCGGCGGCGGTAGTAATAATCTAAACAAGAATCGGCACCCTTCGCGTTATAATAAGCTCTAGCTTATAGAGACTAGTAAGTATTGCTATTAGAGTTTCCCCTTTTCTAACAATTTGCTAACTAGGCGTAGTCCTTAAGGAAGTTTAGTTAACTATCGCGATTCTCTAGAGAATCATCTAGTACTTAACTAATATTAGTCCGGAGTAGACTCCGCCTTAGCTACGCAACGTTGATATTAGGCATTTTATTACGAGCTAGGATAATGCTCGGCTGTTTCTAAGTATGCCTCCGCGTCTACGTAAGGCGGCTAAGGCATTCAATTTAGGCTTAAAATCGAATGTTAACTACTTGCCTACCGCGCTTATATATACGGCTACTACTAGACGCGTATATACTAGTAACAGCTAGTGCGGTCCTTACAAGCAGTTAAAGGGTCCGTACTTAGAGTATGTAACTCTAAGTTATCGAATTAACGGTTAGGATATCGCTTTCCTAAAGGGCGCTTGCACTAACTGTACTAGCCTAAATTATTATAGTTAATGCGAGTTCTCTAGTAAGTTGAATTTGGTCTTATACATTTTTTTAAAGCAAAAACACTAATTCTTTTATTAGGTTACGTCTCTCGGCTACGCTCTAATACGAATCGTTAGACGCCTATAGCGCCTCTACCGCCTCGTAATCCGGGGAGTAGAGTAGGCACTAATTAGCGTCGTCTATACGTACTAGTCCCGTCTAGCATCGATTAGAGTACTCCTTAGGGCGCCTAGGCAGTAGCAAATTTGCTACTATAGCAGGCAAATGCTTATACCTAGGCTGCTACTTAGGGACGTAGTCGTAGTCTAGGTTCTAGGTTGTCTACTAGTCCTAGCTCGACTCGTAATTCTAGTAGTCCTTAGAGGGGTTTCTCTAATTACGAAGACAGTAATACTGAGATAGGTAGCTAATTAGGGAGATTCGGTTTTTTTTTTTTTAGTAGATAGAGAGCTATAATATATGTTTTCGATTTTGAAATAGGCTAGGCAGTCTGGATTAGTGAAAGCCTTATAGTATTAGAGAGTTTCTAACTCTTAAGGGCTAGGGTATTTCTTCCTACTTAGTCTTAATGTTATTATAAAAGAAATTTTGCAGCTCAGACTGTATAGTGTAGCTAGGCTGTTTCTAGAAATTAGAATGAAATTCAATAAGTGTATAAAGCTTGTTTTCTAATCCTATAAATAAGATTTTTCTTTCTAAAGGAGTGACTTAGGAGTTTGTCCTAGAGACGCTGTATTATTAGAGAATTTTGTTTAGAGATTTGGGCTTAGTAAAACAGTCCGCTAGCTGTTTGTTAGTAGTGACGAATTCGATACTAATCTTTCCCTAGGCATACTATTCTCTATAGTAGTAGTTCCTAAGGGAAACGTACCTCGACCTCTTAGAATTTATATAGTCCTTAACAAGGGAAATAGCTAACTAGTTGTCTACCTAGACGTAAATCCTATTAACTTCTTCCCTAGTAAGTAGTTAAAGCTCAGTTATCAAATTTCGGAGCTAGCAGATTTCTCTATATACTTCTATTAGAGCAATATACTCTGCTTTAGTGCTAGAGAGCACGACTTCCTTCTAGAGCTATAATCTCTATATAATTGGAGTGTTATTAAGAAGTATAAGGGCGCCTAATGTTAATCTTAATAATAAAGGGTTACTAGCAAAGTCTACGTTAGAGTATACCTAAAATTCCAAAGTTTTCTTCTTTCTAAAGACAAGTCCTTTGTCAACTATGCTAGCAATATACCTCTAGAGATGTTTAGCAGCTATAACATGCTTAGGTCCGGGATTCTAAAGGAACCTAGCAAGGTAGTTGACGGTATAGCTAATGTCTAGTCTAGTCTAGTTAGCTAGAAACTGCATTTCACCAATTATAGTGTTAAATAGCTAGTAGTCCTAACGGTTATAGGGGGTTGTAAGAGGCTCGTAAAGCTTCTTAAGTAGATGCTTTATTAGCTTGTACTAGTCTAAGCTATGCTTCTAAAGCTTCTCTTTAGTATAGTGTATCTAGGAGACAGTAAGGTTTCCCTCCTTATCTTCCTTTAGATAAAGGCCTAGAAACAGGTTAGACGTAACAATCTTGATTATATACTTCTTACGAAGACCTTTAATTAGAGCATCGATCTTTGCCTTAGAGGTTCTAAAGATTTAGAAGTTATCTATATAAAGGAGGATAAGAATACTATTACCTTACTATAGGTAATAGTCACTCTTTATCCTACTTAGGCCAAGTTAACGAAGAGTGTCTAAAGCATTATAGTGCTAGAGATTAGCAGCCTACTTAAGGCTATACAATCCTTTTCTAACACGGATAATATACTTTAGAGGGTGCTTCTTAAATAGGTGCGCGCCTTCTAGGGGTCTAATGAAAATCTCTTTGTCTAGAGGGGGATTTAAGAAAGCAGTCTCGATATCAACCTGTCTTCGCTTCTAGTTTTTGTTTACTAAAAGCCTAAGGATAAGTCTAGCAGTAGCTGCTCTTAGTATAGGAGTATAGGTGTTAATATAGTTAAGACCTTGCTTCTATATAAAGCCTCTAGCTGTCCATCTTGCCTTGTATTTATTAATAGAGCCGTTTAGCAGGTATTTGATCTTAAAAACCCATTTTCCTATTAGAGGTGTTCTGCCTTTTAGTAGGGATTCGGCTAGAATCTACTCGATTGCACTAGACTTTTTAAGAGACCTTATCTCTTTTATAACGGCTTTTCTCTATTCATCCTAGTTAGGCCTTTTTAGGGCTTTAGCTAGGGTTGTTAGGTTAACTAGCTTCTAAGCATCTTTTATAGTAGCAGCTATAGCAATCTTAGTAATCTTGCTATAGTTATACTTAGCTACGGCTCTGCTAGACCTAAGTCGTACTTCGGCTTAAGGAGGGTTTAGCTAAGGTAGGTTAGGAGCCCTCTTTCTCTTACTAGTAGTCTTAGGGACTTAGAAGGGAGTAATTAGGGTGTCTTCTAGTTTAGCAGTATCTGTTTCTTAAGTGTGCTGATTTTTCTTAGGAGCAGCTTCCTACTAGGCAGCTAGTAGTTCTAGTTAGTAATTTTAGAGTATTAGCTTATTAGCTGTAGGTGTTAGCTAAGGTAGTGTTCCTTACTTAAGTGTACCTTGCTCCCCCTAAGCTATAAGGGAGTCTTCCTAATCTTCCTAATTATAAGCCTACTAAGGCTAAGGGATACTACCTCTAAATAGCTCCCCCTAAGGTTCTAAAGAGTGCTAAGGTGTTTAGTTATTACTAGGGAATAGTGCTAGGATTCTTAACTCAAATAAAAGGTTAGACTAGGTTTCAAGTACCTAAATAGTCTCCTAAGGGACAGCTAGTCTCAAATACTCCCCCTAAGCTTAAAGGGTACTTAGAAGCTTAGTAAAATTGTCTTTATAGACAAAGTCCTCGTTAAAGGTAACGTATAGAGAGAATCTAATATTATACTACTATACGCTATCCTTCTAGTACGGGTTCCAAAGTAGATAGTTTGTTAATAAATTTTCTTAGAATCTAATAAACTAGTAAACGAAAGCTCTTAGTGCAAATTTCTAGGAGTTAAGTCGTTCAACCCCGGATTCGAGGTATTTAAATGCCTTATAGCCAAATCGTCTCGTCTTAGATAGGTTAATGTCTGTACTGCCGATATTCAAGTCTAATTCGAAAGCCTTAAGTAGAACTTCCTTAGTTCTTAAGTTCACTAGTCTATTAGTTAGGTAAATCGAATGCATTACTATAAAGTACTAGTAGTATATTAGTAGGCTAGAGTCAATTATCATTGCTCTTGCCTTAAGTAGAATCGTCTTGTTTAACGACTCTGCAATGCTATTCTACTCCGGTATATATAGTATAGACACATCCTATCTAATACTAACTTCCTCTACAAAATGTACTAGATCGTTGTTAGTAAACTCTCCCCCGCTATTACTAAAGATAATCTTAGGGATTTTGTTATATTGCCTCCTAATTCTAGTTATCTAGTTAGTTAGCTTGTTACTACTTATTACCTTGTCTTTGTTTCGAAGTAATAGACCCTACCTAAGCCTAGTTTTAGCATTAGTTAGGATTATAATATACCTATTTCTAAACAGATTAAATAGTTGTACGCTAATAAGGTCAATATAGACTTCGTTAAGGGCTTTTTCTAGTCTAGTTCTATATTCTCTTAATACAACTCTTTAAGCTCTCGAGAGCTTATAGGTCTTACAGTACTCGAGTTTAGATATATCAACTTCTTCTAGGCCTAGAATGGCTTCTTTAGTAGCTATTAGGATCTTGTTGCCGACGTAGCCAAGTCTCTAATGCTATCTCAATATATCCGCTCGTAGTCTAGCGATAGCTAGGGCTAATAGCTGCCTTTTCTAACTCGATTCTAAGTTTAGTTTTAAAGCTAAGCCTAGTATTTTAACTCTAGTATCCTTAAGGGCAAGTACTCCTTATACTTCCTCAACCTTTCTAATTAGCTTGCCTTTAAGTATTAAAGTGCCTAAAGGTCTGTCTAAGTAAATGCTACATTTCTTCTAAAGACGCTCTGCTAAGATTAGGTTGCAATCTAAGTTCGGGGAGTAGAGGACGTCTATTAGAGTAATTGGGGTTTTCTTTCCTTTATAGGTTAGGAAGATGTTAATAGTTCCTAATCGTAATACACTTAATTTTCCTACTGCCTAGGAGAACTAAACAGGCTTAGTTAGGTGCTTAAGATCGCTAAACTAGCTCTTATTCCCTATAATGTATAGTAATGTACCTATGTCCCAAACTTTTGTGTTAGCTATTAGGTTCTTAGAGCTTGCTGCAGCTAGTCCCGGCTTTGTAATAGCTCCCCTAATTAGGCCCCTACTAAGGCCGTCTAGCTAATAGTCTCCCTTATCTTCCGAGTTAGAGGAGGAGTCTAATTCATCTTTGTTATTGTTAATAGCACTACTAGATTTGCCCTTTCCTTTGCCTTTACCCTTCTTGCCTTTGTCTTTATCTTTATCTTTACTCTTATCTTTCTTTCCCTAACTAGGTAGTGCTATATTAGGGTATTGCTTATAGTACTTAGCGTTAGTATGCTTGTACTTATACTAAGTGCACTAGTCGTTATTATTGCTAATAGCCCCTCTAACAAGCTTTAAGCCGCTAGATAACTGTCTAGGAGGCTTTTCTCTCCTTAGGGACGTTATTATTACTTTAAGGGAGGAGTCCTTAGCTTTAGGCTTATTGTTATACTTCTAGGATCTAAGCTATTCGTAACTAGAAAGGCCCTAAATAAACAGCATCCTAACAAGCATATTAGGCATCTTAATATCTAATGACTTTATAGGCGCTTCTATTGTTGTAACTAAGCTAGCAAATTGTTCTGTCGATGTTTAGAATCTATTAAACTACTGCTAAAAAGATTCGCAGTACTACTAGGTATTCGGATTAGTAAGGGGCATCCTAATATACCTAATGAGTTTAATAGTATTAAATATGTCTATAGTTACAATAGGCTTGTATAGAGCCTCAATGTAGTCGTATATATCCTTAGCTAACTTAGGTGTATTACCGAAGTCTAGTCTAAGGGCAGGGTCGAGTCTAGCAATAAGTATACCTAGGGCTTGGATGTCTTTCTTCTTCTAGTCCCTAAATATGTCTCTATACTGCTAATCGGCTAAGTCCCCTATAAATATACTTTTTAGAGGTGGTTTTATTTTATTAGCCTAGTTAAGTCTATAGAATACTATACTAACTAGGTCCTTTTCTAGAAGGGCCGCCTAGAATATAAGCTTCTAGTCTTAGAAGTTAATCCCCTTCCTAAGAACTTGATTCTCCTTTACTGTCTTTATCTAATTAGTGTCTATCGTTCCTAGCTGCCTTTTAGTATAGTACTAGGCAGGGCTTGTAAGGGACACTTACTAGGTTTTAGTCCGAACTAGAGCTCTTAACTAGGTACCTGATAGGTCTAGATAGCTAGCTCTATTTAGTAGACTCTAGAAACAGTTCTTTTATAGTTGAACTAAACAGGTAAGCGTATACGCCGGGCTTATAACCTATTGTAAATCGTACTAAGGATACAACTAATTATCGGATTGACAACTATATAACTATACAAAGAAGAATCAGGAGCCTGCTATAGAAACTGCAGTTAATATACCCATTATGTGTCCTTCCTCTTAGCACAGGTCAGCTGATGGTATTAGCTGACTAGCATATCACCTGACTGAACCACAACACACCATGTCGCCATACCGCGAACTTTCTCGCCCGCTAGCAATGTCATCGGCTGCACCTTGCTATACACGTTTACCCTCCGATGTGACGACGGATCTGCAGACCATGGCACGGGCACGCTCTTCGTGGAGTTGGACGGGGTGAACATGAATCCCGTCTCGGGATTGGCAAGTGCATCTCGACGGTAAGCTATGTGAAGCAGGCATCATCTGCATCAACTGCGCAGCACTGTTTCCTACCTTCACCTCTTACATTACTGCAACTATATGCAAACATTACCCCTCTACGACCCATTCCTATCCCTCATTCACGACGCCAACGATATGGCTGGGTCACTGAAGGATAGGATCAAAAGCTTCGTCAAAAGACACGTCAAAAAGCAGAGAAAGGGCAAGAGCAGCGCAGCGCCATCGCATGTCGAGAAAGTCGAGGTGCCCAACGCTCAACAAGTCCCCAGCGACACGCAGCAGATGCCGATTCTATGGCAGCCGAGCGAGGATCAAGTGGAACAAGATCTGAAGCAATCTGGACCAAAGACATACAATCGAGCGGCTATTTCGACTCAGGCCGCCACTACCACTGGTACCCTCAACATTGTCCTGGAGAATCAGACCAGCTCACGAAACGTGTACGCCTACATCACCGGCCAAGCCATTGACAAAAATAATGCTCTGTTCATACTTCAGTCAGATGCCAAGACGCCATACTACCCACCCAGTCCACCGACCGTCGGCACCAAAATCACCACGCCCATCGCCATCCAGCTTGGTGCTCCGGGGAGCACGGTGTCTGCAACCATTCCTCGCCTGGCAGGTGGACGCATCTGGTTTTCCCAAGATGCGCCTCTCACATTTATGCTGAATCCGGGCCCTGGCCTCGTGGAGCCTTCAGTGTTCAACCCTGCGGATCCAAATTACAACATCAACTTCGGCTTCTGCGAGTTCACCTACAATTCTGACCAGGTCTTCGTCAACATCTCATACGTGGATTTCGTCAGCGGCGTGCCCATTGCGCTTACACTCAACGACACATCCGGTGGCAGCCAGCATATTGCCGGCATGCGTCCAAACGGTCTTGCTCAGGTCTGCCAAGGTCTTCGCGACCAGACAGCGAAAGACGGTCGACGCTGGAGTTCTCTCATCGTCCAAAGCGGAGGCAAAGACCTTCGAGCATTGTCGCCCAATTCCGGCATCACGCTGAATCCCGACTGGTTCGCAACCTACTGGACCGACTACGTCAATCAAGTCTTCGCCCAGTACCAGAACCAGCCCCTCACCGTCAACACGCAAGCACAGTGGGGCGACGTCCAAGGCAAAGTCAACGCAAATGGTTCTTTGGACTTTGGAGATGGTAGTGTGTTTGCGAAGCCCAATGCAAAAGATATCTTTGGCCAAGCTACCGGACCGTTCGCTACGGGAGGAAATGCGAAAACCAATGCCATCATTCCCAGGCTCTCGACGGGATTCGCGAGAAGCACTTTACTCTTGAGCAATCAGGCGCCAAATGGAGTTCAGCCGAGTCAGTACTATACAAACCCTACGACGAACGTGAGTGTTCTCCTCATATCCCTCTGACAACAATCATGCTCATTTTCATCACAGCACTATGCCCGCATCGTCCACGCTGCCAATGTCGATACCCTGGGCTACGCTTTCCCATACGACGATGTGACGCCGGATGGAGGTCCGTATCACCATTATCATCTAGATTTGCGCGAAAGTACTGACATGCGACAGGCAAACCCCAAGAAGGTGCAATTTACTCTTTCTCTCCCTCCAGACTTACAGTCACATGTGGAGGAAATGGGGCCTAGAATATGCGGCTTAGATGTAACTTACTTTACCTACTTTTCCTCTGCCCTACTGCTGTATGTTAGTCACTTTGCATTTTTTCCCCCTAATAATAAGGAACCCTACAACCCTACCTATTCTAAGCTTTCGATTACTCCCGTCGCACTAAGCTAAGCTAAGATTTATTCTTATTTACTTCTCGCTTTATTATATTATATAACCTAGAGTCGCGATTTCCTTTTTCAGGAAAGGAGCATACATACTAGATCGTATTATATATAGATAGAATAGTATTAGATACATAATATTTCATATTTTGTGTTTTGTGTGTGTAGAAAAAAGAAAGATCTTAGTTATATAGGCGAGAGCGACTTAGAGAGAAGCCTTATATAATTTCTTTTAGTTTAAAGAACAACAACAAATTTATTATATAATAAAGAAGTTCTCTTATATCTATCTATATAGATAGTACGTATATATATATATATATATATACTTCGAAAGTCTAAGTCTATCTCCTCTATTTCTATTTTCTTTTTTATAAAAAATAAATAAAGAAAAGGGAATAATAATATAGACTTAGAGTAGACTTTTTAAAAAGCAAGCTTAATAAATACCTTGTTTTATTATTATCTTCTTCTTCTTTAAGGAATTAGATAGATAATAAAGATTCTTATCCCTACTACTCTAATCCTCGTAATAACGAGAAAATATCTAGCTTTAAAAACGCGATATAGAGATCTCGAAAATATAGGTCGAAATCTAATAGACGTGAGATTTTGGGTTTTAGGGATTTTGTGTGCTTGGTTGAGAGGAATACATGTGAGTATTGGCAGCAAAAGAAAAGAATGAGGAGGAAAAAAGAATTCAATTGTGTGGTTGTGTGTGCTGGCTGATATTTGAAAAAAGAAAAAAAGAAACAGTGAGTCTTGAGCGAGATGAGAGGTTCGTTGGAGGAGAAAAAGGGAGAAAATGATGCTGCTTGGGGACAGATGATGCCCGTAAGTTCAACAAACAAAACATCCAGCTACTTCACATTTGCAGGAGAAAAGACTTGTGTATTAATGATTCGCAGCCAGGCGATGGATTCGTCCACATCCCAGAAGCTGCTCCAACTTCGATCCTACCTGAAATTGAAGGCAAAGGAGAAATCTACGACATCTCTCTCTTCCATCAACTTCACTGCCTCTCGCATATAAGAACGTATCTGTACGCGATGCAGCCATTTCTGAATCGGAGTTCACCTTTCGAGACGTTCAAGGGCGTGCTTGCGCCGCGGGAGGATCATGTGGAGCGCGTTGTTTCGATTATTTGAGGCAAGGTCTGATGTGTGCTGGAGATATGACGCTCGAGTGGCCTAGAACGGAAGAAGATGGAAGGAGGTTTGCTGTTGATGGTTGGGGTGTTGAGCATCAGTGCAGGAGTTGGGTGAGCGACGGACGCATTTCCAATGGTTGTGGATGTGAGCTGACTTTGACAGGAGTCGATCATGAGAGAGATATGGAGGAGAATACTTCGAAGGTTTCCCGAGAGGTGGTGGGAAGTCGTTCCACAACGCCTTGATCATGTCATTCTCATACTCCGGTATGCTACGATGCCATTCAGCAAGCCCATGGCGTTGAATTCCGACTCCACGCACGATCGTCGATGCTGCTCCAGGCACTGTGATAAGCCTGTGAATTGGAATGCTAGGTGGAAGAGCCTGGCCAATCGAAGATTTGCCCTCTACTCAAAGTATCCTGGAAATAGCCAGTCCAGCTTCTTCTTCGCCTCCGCAGATCTTCCAGCTGCGTTGGTCATGCTTCCTGCGAACTTCGTCTGGCCTTGCAAATGCTTGGCAGAGACCAAATCAGCATGCTCTTCCTTGCTGAGCTCGTCGAGGACTGAGCCCACGAAGCGTCTGGCGTTCTCAGAATTGGCTTTCATATTCCCCATGACCATTTCGACCGTCACGTCGCCAGAGGCATGCCAGCAGTCATAATCCGTGCTCATGCAGATCATCTGGTAGGCAATCTCTGCCTCTTTCGCGAGCTTTGCCTCAGGTAATGCAGACATGTTGATCACGCTACCTCCCCACGTGCGATACATGTTGCTCTCGGCGCGAGTAGAGAATTGTGGGCCCTCCATACAAATAATCGTACCCTTGTCATGAAGGCGCACGCCGTCTCCCTCCAAGCTGTGCCCGCACTTGCGTACGACCTCGGCCACGCCAGAGTCGAATGGGTCCGCGAAGCCTACGTGACCGACCATACCGCCTTCGAAGAAAGTGAAAGGTCGAATGCCCTTTGTACGATCAATGATTTGGTCTGGAATGACGAAGTCGCGTGGCTTAATCTCCTCTTGCAGACTGCCCACGGCCGAGAAGGCAATTATCGTGCGTACACCGAGCTTTCGAAGAGCTGCGATGTTTGCGCGAGCTGGCACTTCATGTGGTGCAAACTCGTGGGATAAGCCATGGCGGGAGATGAATGCGACTGGGATGGGCTTGCCGGTGGAGGGTGAAGGGTGATGGAGGACGGAGATGGGCGAGGATGGAGTGCCCCAAGGGGTGTCTGGCTGGAGAGTGGCGACGTGGGTGAAGTCTTTCAGAGATTGAAGACCCGTGCCGCCAATGACGGCGATCGATATCGGATCTAATCATAAAGTGCCTGGTCAGCGGGGGAGCTCTTGCTTGTGATGCTCTGTCGGCCACGCACCTTCGTAGTGGTCTGCTACGTTGGCCATTTTGCGGAAGCCGAGGTGTACTTCTTGTCTTGCACTGTTCTGGGCGAGATGTGTCAGTCTGAAGAGTCTTCTTTGCATGTGAAGCATTTTCTGAAAGGGAAATCTCACGTTCTATACATTCCCGTTCGGTTGAACTTTGATCCGTATCAATCCATCGGGATCGCGTGATCATGAGAAGCTGCCGTGCCGGACGAATATGGTTGTCCTAGACGATCTCGAGCGGAGTGGAAGTAACGTTACTCGCTTCAAGCGGACTGGTAAATAATAGGACAGTAAGTAGAATAAAGGATACGGCCGAATTTCGGGCGGAATTGACGACCCATGCGGGGTGAACACCAAACATCAAACATTCGCATTCGCATCTGAACACTCGCTCCCACCGAAACTCCGATCGACTTCGAGCTGTCGGGTGAGCATTGGAATGCCATGAGTGTGCTATGGCCGAAGAGACGCCGCCTCAACTTGGACGCCAGTTGTCCTTGGTCCCGTACGCATCAGACTCGCGCGACATTGTGCTGTACGTGATCCGAAGCAGAACTTGAACCCGGCCGCGCCATTCTGAATTCTGACATCTCGCCAGCCGACGCGGAAATGCCGTCGTGCTATACGATGCCCAGACGCAACAGCTGTCCGTACGAGATGCTGCACACGAGCCCGTCGAGCTGACGGAGTGCCCTTACTGCCACAGACCTCTCCGCAACAGGGAACGGTCCGACGACGATGCCGATCATGCTCATGCCCTTGGTCGAGATCGACCTTTTGTGGATCAGGACTACTTTGCTATGCTCGCAGCGAGCCAGAGGCCTTCGCCAGCTGCATCCGGATTCTCCTCTCCAAGCAGACGAGTGCACCCAGCCATTAGATCTGGCCGCTCACGAGACGTCAGTGGATCCGCAGAGCCTCCGTCAGGCGCTCAATTTGTCGGCAGTGAGCCCGCGCCACCGGGTGATAAAGGAATCAGCAGTTCTGCCTTCTCTCCAGGCTACTTCCAACAATTCTTCCGTGAAGAACGTGAGCTAGGTCGCGGAGGCAATGGGGTGGTCCTACTGGTCGAACACATGATCGATGGAGTGTCGCTTGGCCATTTCGCGTGCAAGCGCATCCCGGTGGGAGATAGCCGGAACTATTTCGAAAAAGTCATCGTCGAGGTGAGGCTTCTGCAGAAGATCCCTCATAAGAACCTGGTCGCCTACCACTGGACCTGGCTAGAAGACCATCAGCCTTCGAAGTTCGCTCCCAGCATCCCGTGTCTGTGGATCTTGCAAGACTATTGTAATGGTGGCGATCTTCATACGTATGTTCTTGGGCCTCAAAGGGGCCCATCCACGAAAGAAAATCTCAAGGATAGACTACGTCGGAAGTCGAAAGGCGAGTCAAGTCCTCCTCAAGATCTGCGGGGACCGAGCAAACTGTCCTTTGAAGAAATCTTTTCCTTCTTCCGTGACATTACATCTGGCCTACACCACTTGCATTCGAAAGGCTATATACACCGCGACCTGAAGCCTTCGAATTGCTTGCTACAGCGAGATGGCAATAGGACTAGAGTACTGATCTCGGACTTTGGAGAGGTCCAAGCTGCTGGCGCCGCACGTCTATCATCTGGCGCAACGGGCACCATCTCTTACTGCGCACCGGAAGTTCTCCTCCAGAATGCGGATGGCTCATACAAGAACTTCACCACCAAATCAGACATCTTCTCACTCGGCATGATCGTCTATTTCATGTGCTTTGGACGGCTGCCATATGCAAATGCAGACGACATAAACGAGGAGAACGAAGACCTTGAACAGCTCAGAGCTGAAATCCAGAAGTGGACTGGCTTTAATGATGAAACCCGCGTGAGGCCGGACTTACCCGAGAGACTGTTCAAATATCTCAAGAAGCTGCTGAGCGTCGACCCCAACGAGCGGCCATCCACAGAAGAGATCTTGACCAGTATAAAGGGCGGCGTAGCTCTGGGAGAAGCAGAGTCTGTGTTTGATGACTTCACACCTCGGGTCTCCAACATCGACTCTCCTGCACCGAAAGCGGCCTCCCGGAACCGAAAGCACTCATACATATCGTCACGACCCGGCCTTTCATCACCTGGAAGACATTATTCGAGCGACAGCATAAGATCTCGAAGTCCCATAAAACAAGACAGGAGTACCAGTCGACCCACAAGCCCACAAGACTTGACACTGAGCTCTCGAAAAGTGGGATTACCTCCCGCTGCTACGCCAGACCAACAACCCCCTCAACAAAGCCCGAGACTCATGCTCCCTCCACCACCACCTAGCCCACCGCTCAATGCCATCATGCGCTTCATCCATTCCCCTCGAATAGCAATCAGTATCCGCGCCCTCCTCTTCGCCGCCAAAATCTTCATGATCTCCATCCCCTGCGCTCCCTACTCCGCCAATCAACGGCTATTATACCCCCTCCTCAGCCTCGCAGCCATAGATCTCGGATTCCTAAATTTCGGCCTCCGACAGTCGATCCTCCTCTTCATTATGCACGTCGTGGCAGTGGTAATTGCTTCGCAGCATCATCGCTTATGCGAAGCGGGAAAAGTTCTCGTTTGGGAAGAAGATATTTGAGAGCGAGTGAGTTAGTTAAGCGCACGGCGTTTGGCGTTCTTAGAGCCCTCTTCCATAGGAATTTTTTTTTTAAAAAAAAAGAGGAAATGGGCTGTTATTCCTACTTCCTTCTTTCTACAGTACCTCATACCTTACGCAGTTTGCGAATAAAATCCAAGTCCAGCAAGTCAGGAGGAGTAGTCCGGTTTGTCGATTCATTATTAGAGTATTAGGCAGGCACCCCTCCCTGCTTTCATTTTTTTTTTGGTTGGCTTGATGCTTGCTCGCTCTCTTCCAGCGCCCCAAAAAATTTCTCTAGCTTTGATTACTTGACATTTGCAAAAAAAAATGTTTTCCTTTCTTGTAGCGCGGCATATTAGACTAAGTCGGGTCTTGCTCAAGAAAACCACGGCAAGAAATCACGATCACCTAGCGAGAGAAATTGACGCGGAAACAAACAGCTTGCTTCGGGAGGCTGTCTTAGAACAAGAACACGAACACGAACATGCTATCCTACCCATCCCTTCTCTACCCTTCCCAAAACTCCCATCGCTAAGACAATATATGCTCAAGCTCGAGCTCGAGCGAGAGAACAAAAATGTACAATCCCCATCCATGCTCCATTCGTAATCGCATGGCATTCGTCAACGGCGTGAAATCTGTACAGCGCAAAAGAAAACTCAATACCTCTTCTTGGCAGCAGCAGCAGTCTTACTAAGAGCCGCCAACTTGCGTTTCCTTTCTTCCTTCTCCCGTCTATGCCGCTCTTCTTCTTGCAGAGCCTCGAGGTCTTCCTTCTTGGCGGACTTCAAGGCCAACTGCTCTTCGCCGTCAACGTCATCGAAGCCGGCTTCCATGTCGTCGGATTCGTACGAGTCGTAGCCTTCTTGTTCATCTTCATCCTCTGCAGCAGAAAGATCTGACCAGCTGGCGTAACCACCATATTTGTCCTGTCCGAGACCTTTCCTGGGGTCTTTCTTGGGTGCGACTCCTGGGACTGCTTTCTTCATGGTGCCTGTGTATGTGATTGGGGGTGGCGCAATGACTGGTTTCTTCATCGTTCCCTTGTATCCTGTCTCCGGGACCTTCTTCGCCCCAGATTTCGGGTCTGAGGGTGTACCGCTCCGACTCCGATCTGCTGCTGCCGCTTTACCACCATCTTTCCCGCCTCCTTTCCGTACCGCTTCCTCCCTCAACCGCATCCGCTCTTTCTTCGTCAACCTCTCCACGGGCTTGTGCTTGATGGTGTTGGTTCCAGCTCCTTTGGATGCCTCTTGAGCGGCTTTGGCCTGTGCCAGAATAGCAGCAAATCCTTTCGGGGCAGCGGGTGCGCCATTTCCAGCGGGTTTAGGGGCAGCCGCTGCCGGCTTCGCTGCAGATTTGGCCGGCTGAGAAGAGGTCGAAGGGCTCGATGTGCCTTTGTATGATGCTGCTGTAGCGGTAGAGGTGGAGATCACTGGCTTTGCACTGGCCACTTGTCCATTCTGACTAGGCCGTACAGGCACCTTGACTTCCGTCCTTGTTACTTTTGCCTGTGGCGCGGAAGACTGGGCTTCAGCCTTTCGCTTAACTCCTGCTGTGACATGTGCAGGTACGGGACGAGGCTTCTCGCGATGCATGAGCGCTTGCGGGTTGGCTGTGCTCTCGGCTGCTGTGGGCGGTTTTGAGATGTTTGTCGTAGGCTTCGGCGAAGGAGTCGCGCCTGGCTTGCCGATAGAATTGAGAAGATTGTTAAAGTTGAAGCCCTATTCTACGTCAGCCAAGTAGTCAATGCTTCAGCAGCATAGCTTACCTACCGTCATGATGAGTTGCGTTCCAGATGCTCAAGGCTCGCTATCTGGAACTTCTCGAAGGCGAGAGATGTCGCATAGCAAACTGCGTAAGCGTGCTACGTACGGATGAGATTGTCGAGAGGGTGGCGGAAAGGTCGAGGTCGCCAGAAGAGGGAGTCGTCTATGTATATGACTGCTGTCGCATGTGCCAAAGAAGCATGCTGAAGTCAAAGTTATTAGAAGGCGCCGGATTTGGCCGTGTGCGCCTCAGGCACCATGAAGACGCCAAGACTTCGTGCCCACCCTTCAATCCAAATTATCTGACACCGTGCCGACTTCTTGAGACTCCGCGACGACTACCACCCACCGCACAGAACTCGAAGTTTCAGTCAGCTGCATCCCAGCTTAAATCGATTGACTCTCTAGTTCTTCTACCAAAACCACATCACACAGTACGCGACAACACCTCAAGCTGCCAAAGGCACCATCTAACAGACTCCGCACAGACACTATCAAAATGAAGCACCTCGCAGCCTACCTCCTCCTCGGCCTCGGCGGCAACACCTCTCCATCCGCCAAAGACATCAAGGGCGTACTCAGCGCCGTCGGCGTGGAGGCCGACGACGAGCGTCTTGAGAAGCTCCTCTCCGAGCTCGAAGGCAAGGACATCAACGAGGTATGCGAGCGATATCGCAAACATTTTATTTTCAAACATGCGGAATAAATACTAATATAATTATCCAGCTGATCTCCGAGGGTTCGACCAAGCTCGCCTCCGTTCCATCTGGAGGTGCTGGCGGCGCTCCAGCAGCCGGTGGTGCTGCCGCTGCTGCTGGCGGTGACGCTGCTGCGCCAGCTGCTGAGGAGGCCAAGGAAGAGGAGAAGGAGGAGTCGGATGAGGATATGGGCTTCGGTCTCTTCGACTAAACGTGTCGCTTCTGCCGCAACGAGGAACGACATGTTGAGGCTGGGATGAAGGGCAGATCTGAGGATTTCTTGGAGGATTGAAGAACGTTCGGTTCATACTATGCATGCACGGCGTATGGCGAACAGCTTCGCTGCTGTATGACTACCATAGGGACGCCTGATGCGAAATGAAGACGACTTCTCCGGCCATGTGTTGATTATGAGTGACTGCATCCATGTGCCTTGCGTGCTTTTGCGAACGTGCTTCTTGCAACCAAATGCTCGGCCTCAGAGTTTGCCCTCTCCGCCATCCTTCACTTACACAATTTGGCGAAGGCAGTTGACTGAGCGTGATGATCCATGCTCAGTAAATTCATTCCAACTTGGGGTATCTCGTGATCTATGCAACTCTACACCTTTCGCTCGGCTTCCTTTTCCCGCCGAAACTCCGCGCTGAAACCATGCTGAATATCGTACAACTTGACGCCAAACTTTGAATCCCTTCTAGCTGGGAGAGAATGCTGCCACGTCAACTACTTCGTTGACCTGGGGAGCTCAAGCCAAAGCAGGTTGAGAGTTCTCACCTCTTGATGGCGAGCTCAACCCAAGGCCAGCTGGGGCCATCATGTCCCTTTACTGTTCTTGCTGCTGCACGTCGGATCCAGGTGCTGGCGCGCTCAATGCGCAGATCTGGTTCAACGTAATCTGTGACGGCAAGACACTCGTCCAGGGCTGCACAGGTATGGCTTACTGTAGCAACGCACTATGATCATGTTAGTCAAGCATAGAAGAAGAGTCAGTGAGATAGCATACCCGAGATAATCCTCAGCAATGCTACCCACGGCGAACATGCTGCCAATCTCGCCTCTGATACCCTTCAACCGAAGTCGAATCTGCGTGCCTCGCTCAATTTGGTCGTTGTTGTCCGTGAACGAGGGCGTAGAGCCCTCAACGGTGTACTTCAAATTTGAAGGAATCATCTATCGAAGTCAAGTTAGCACGATTCATGGCAACTCGAGGACATGCCATCTCAAACCCACCGATCTGCTCACAAAGACGGTCATCGCGCCAACTTCCACAAAGAACCCATTGCTGACCACAGTCGTAACCAAGCCATCTACAACCTCGCCGCGGAAAGGTCTCCAGATGATGGCACGGTATGAGAGGACGTATTTCGCCATTCCCGTTCCCGGCACAAGCACTGGTTCGCTGATATCGTCCACACCGATGATCTGAATCACGATCTCCGTGCCCTCGATATTGCCTTGCATGTCGTCGTAGAGTTTTGCGATGATCTTTGCATTTGCTGAGCTGTCGAAGAAGGAAGGGTGTAGAACCACCTCCCTCGTTCGATTGGCCACGAAGAACATTGTGAATGTTCCTAGCTTTTGCAGACGCTGGTCGCAGGACTCCTCAGCTTTCGCTGTATGGTCCTTTCCTCTGTTCCCTCACGATCCCGAGATCTTGAAAACCGATGCTTCCCCGTTGCGTATTTTGCTGCGCAGCGGTATGTAATTAATGCGCCGGCAGCTAAGACCGGACTCGTCTTTGTCGCGTTGAAAGGAATGTCGATCCGTTTCGGTCGTGAGCGGTCGTGAGAGGTCGTGAGAGGTCGCAAGGTCTTGGCACCGAGATTAGGTACAGTCCTGCGTAGGCGAAGGGAAGGTTATGCTGCACGGTGGAAGCCTCTAGGATGATGGACGAGGTCGACACGCGATCACTTCAAGATCGCGGCTGCATAGAACAACTGAAGCGGGACAGCCCGCCGCAAGTTCCTTCCCGCCTCACGTCCGTGCTCGCGAAGCCACGTGAAAGAGAGATCATCCATGGATGCAATTTTTTCAATTAATAACATCGTCAAGCCATCAACCTGCCATTTGTACGCTCTTCTACTGTACACAAGACCACCAAAGTCTGCATCATATTCTCATTCATAGCCTCGTGGACTTTCCGATCAAATCAACTGCGTCAGCCCCGACACGTTTGAGGCTCACAGCCACCGATCAGATCCGTCCTTCATTATGCGCGCACTTCTCGATCTGGCAGAATGGGCGCTCGATCGTGCTCATGTACCTCATACGAGCGGCGAACAATGACCAAATTATTGTCATCCCCTGAGCTCTCGCTTCCGACACTGCTGTTCGCTCGCCAGATCTCACCATTTTGCGGGTTCGCCGAGACGCTGGCGATATGCGAGATGTCCGTCTCTGGTCTCAGTCGCAGACCTGTGTCCGTTGCTACGTCCGGAACCGGGGGAGTGCAGACCTCAACTCCTTTGGGTCGCTCTGTGGAGCGTCCTATGCTACCGCTAGCGCCACTCGATGTCGGCGACTTGCTCTTTTCCGTTCTAGATGATGAGCGGCCTGACGAGCCAGATACGTCTGACATTCCGTAGCTGTTGTCACCCTTCCCTCGCGTGAAGCCCATTCCGAAGCCACTGGCAAAGCTCTCGGTGAAGGTCTTCAGCGCCGAAAGTGTGCTTGAGGCGATGGCATATGCCAGTTCAATCTGCAGCCAGATGTTGGCCAGGGAGCTGTCCAGTCCATTATCGGAACTCTGCTGTCGTAATCTCATGGTATAGTAATTCCGGCCGATTGAAAAGCCAAGGGTGCTGCACCAAGTCAGTACGATCGTATTCATCCTGTTCACAGATCATACACTCACGGTATTCTAATCCAAAAGGCAATGATGATCATGGCTTTCTTGCTTAATCGCATCTGCAAATTCCAAACTAGATGTAGAGGCAGCAAGAGCAGGATGATCTCAGAGAAAATGTCGAGCCCTGTGATGGCTTGCCATCGGGCATTCTAGGCAGAGTCAGCGATGGTTCTACGCTGACAACGGATTAATGTACCTGTGAAGGGCAAGTATCGACATTGTCACTGAATGCCCAGTAGTATCCAGGCCTTGCTGAGACATGACAGCTAGCAGTGGCGATGATGATCGAAGCAAGACCTATGAGACCCACGAAGCCATTGCAAATATGGTAGAGCCGGATCTGTTCTGGGGCTTTGGTGATTCGACTGAGGAATGCCACCATTGCGCATTTCGACAAATATAGCGCCAGCAAGAACAAGATGATGCTGGCTATTGAGGCCTAGACTTGGGTGAGTGCTTCGCAAATAGCACACTACTTCGCTTCTGCGTACCTCGTTCAGCTTTGCCAAGTGTGGATCTTCTTTGATCCTTGACCAAGGCTTTCCAAGTCCAGCTCCTACAGCGGCATAGCTTGCTCCGGTATAGCCGAAAGACACCAGAGTTGCCAATCCAATGACGATATCATCTCTTCCATATGCATTTCTCCGAATCCATGCCCGAACGAGGCCGACGCAGATGGTGAAGACCAGGCAAAGGCTGATGGTATAGGTGACAGCGTTTTCGTATCCTTCGCGTTGAGGCATGTTGATGCGATGCGGTCTCGGGTGTGTTGTAAAGGCGTCAGTATGCTGAGCACCGCACTGCGCGAACTCCGACCATGCAGAACAGTGGAAACTTGAAACCTCCCGATGCTTTGCTTTGCTCAAGGGGACTCGAAATTCAAGCTTGTCAACGGTCCGGCTCGGCACAGTCGGCGGTCGGGGCAGCAGAGAGTGAATGCTGAAGGACTTGCTTGTCTTATTCTCACGAGAGATTTCAGAGGTCTGCGAAGATGCGCGAGGAAGCGCTGTCCAGTGGCCTCCCGGTGACACTGTTCGGCGGTGTAAAGACAGGATTGACGCTGTGCTACCATCCGTGGGCAGCCATCAAGGGGCGTGCGAAGTTTACAGATAGGCGCGCATGTTGAACACACAGGAAGGTCGTCTCGGCGGCACAGAGGGCCATCGGAGAAATTGCTATCAGTCGCTCGACGTGATGGGGATGGCACGAAGATCTGGGCAAGGTGTGGTGTGGCACGGCCAACCAAGCGGCTGCGTTTCAAACCGGACGTGTGCTGCAGCGTGCCACCTCTTCACAACCTTGTGCTGCGTGCATCACGTTACGCCGGAGGACGCAAATGCTCGGCCGTCTTGGGTTGTGTGACGGGCGACTTGGAGCTTTTGACGCGCTGTGGTGGCGTTGGTGCGACTGTGATCCCTGCAAACCGACGTGTCGAGAGTCCAGCAACCAGGTACGTCGCGCAGTAGCTCCGCCTGCGTGCATGCCGCCGACGTTCCTTGCATTTGACGCTGCAGCATTTCGTTTACAACGAAACTTCGCCCGGAGAGGTGTGCAGTCGTGATACCTGTCAAGCGGAGCGATGCAATCACGGTGACTCGGCCGGCGCTGCACTTGCCCATTGCGCCGCGAAGTCCTGCACCAGGCTGCTTCAGATCCTGAGCATGCCTCCGCGTAGCACGACGGCTGTGCATGCCGGCGTTGATCAGATTCGGGCTTCTTTCAAAAGTGACAGTTGCGGCATGACGGGCTTGCTGCCCGCGACTTCCTCTGCCGAAGCCCTGAACATTCGACTCCGTCACACCAGAATCATGTGGCCAGCACACCTTGCTCGGCATTCTCTCCAGTAAAGACGTCCACTCCCGCGCTCTCGCCCTCGCTCTCGTCGACACCTTCGTTTGCCCTGCCCCTCAATCGCCTTGTGCTCCTTCCGTCCAAGCTCGCTCTTTCGACAACACATCCAGCAGCGAACATGGGCAGGCCAACTCCCATTCCCGATCTGAAGCCAGAAGATGGCATCTCGCTCGAGGACCGCTCCGATGAAGCCGCGGCCGTCCAGAAGAAAGGCGGCACCCAGACCGATGGTGCAGAGATGAGTCGCATGGGGAAGTCGCAAGAGTTGCGTGTGAGTCCATGTCCAATTCGAGTCCTCGATCGATGAACCATATGCTGACCCGCACATAGCGTAACTTCAAGCTAGTTGGTATGTCAGATCTGTCACCGCGTGGACGATGTCCTATCCCTGTATTCGGTGTGCGCACAGGTAGATCGCTGACCGCAACTTCCCCCTAGGTATTGTTGGCTTCGTCACCATCCTGCAAGCAACGTGGGAGAATGTCTTGCTTGCGAATTGGTTTGGCCTCTACAAGCAAGCCTTCCCTTCGACCGCTTCTGCATGGCCACCATACTGACTCGTGACAGTGGTGGCACGGCTGGTCTCATTTGGTGCACCATCGCAGTATGGCTATTCATGCTTTGCATGATTGCTTCCCTGTGAGTATATCTGATCGTGTCAACCCAGAACACGCCTAACCTATTGGCAGCGCCGAGATGGCATCAATGGCTCCAACTTCCGGTATGCAGCTGCCGCTTGGATCCACGACCTGTTCAAACTTTGCTAACCACTTCTCCGGACTCCAGGTGGACAATATCATTGGGTCTCTGAGTAAGGCCTTGCTCGCACAGCGTCCGCTGCTATCCCGTGTCGGCAGCTAACCATCTCAATAGATTCGCACCTCCCTCGTTGCAAAAGCCGCTCAGCTACGTCGTCGGATGGTGCTGCTGTCTCGGCTGGATTGCCGGCGTTCCATCCTGCTGCATCCAGCTAGGAGGCATGGTCAACACGATGATCCTTTTGGTCAACCCCGATGCCAATGTGACGACTCAGTGGGAGGCGACATTGCTCTTGTACGCTTTCCTTCTCCTTACGGTGGGCTTCAACATTTTCTGCGCCGAACACCTGCCGCTAGCTGAAGGAATCCTGCTATTTGTCCACGTGTTCGGATTCTTCGTCTTCTTGCTGGTATTCTGGATTATGGGAGAGCATGCTCCTGCCGATCGCGTCTTCACTGAATTTCACGACGGCGGGAACTGGGGCAGTAAGGGACTGTCTTGTCTTGTCGGGCTAGCAACTCCTGTGTGGTGCTTCATTGGACCAGTAAGCATATTTATTTCGGTACAGGCAACATGGGATTGACTGACTAACGCGTACAGGATGCCGGTGCTCACATGTCCGAGGAACTCAAGGACGCATCGAAGCAGCTACCGAGGGCCATGATGTGGGCCACAGTTATCAATGGCGTTCTTGGCGTCACTATGCTGATCAGCTTCTGGTACGTTATTACCAACGCACAACTCCGATTGCTTATACTGATCCTTCACAAGCTTCTGCATCACGGACATTGAAACAATCGTCAATGCCGACTCCGATTTCCCCATCATTGACGTCCTCTTCAACGCTACGAAATCTCGGGCTGCGACGTGCGTGCTCGGCTCGCTGCTGGTAGTGTTGCTGTTCTTCTCCACGGTAACCACTGTCGCTTCAGCCTCGCGTCAAGTATGGGCCTTCAGCAGAGATCAGGTAAGTAAAAGGTTACCACTGAATCATCGTGTACTGTCTGATTCCTTCTTCTTAGGGCTTCCCATTCTCGAACTGGATTCGATTCGTGCGGCCAACTTGGGAGATTCCCGTCAATGCCTTGCTCATTGTACTAGGCGTGTCGGTGGTAATCGCTGCTATCAACTTTGGCTCCGACATTGGCTTCAACGCCGTAGTTGGTGTCTCTAATGCGGCACTCGGATTCTCCTATATCATCTCGGTCGGTTGCATCCGACTGAAGCGACTACGTGGAGAGCCTCTGCTCCCAGCACGATGGTCGCTAGGCAAGTGGGGTGGCCTCATCAACGACATCACGCTGGCCTTCCTGGCTGTCATCTTCGTCTTCTCTTTCTTCCCCAACGCGCCGGTCAAGGGAGACCCACACTGGGCCGCAGATTTCAACTACGCCATTGTAATCTTTGGTGCGACCTGCATTCTTGCTCTGGCATACTATGTCCTCGGAGGTGCGAGCAGATACATTGCTCCGGTCTCGCTGGTCAAGCAAGACTAGATCAATTTCCGTAAGTTTGGAGGCTGTACTGAAATACTGGCTTGAAATCTGTCAAGCACTATCGACGACTGCACGGTCAGCAGTCTATGATGATAGCTAATGATGTTACGATGGGCGTATGGGATGTATGTATGGTCTGCGGCTTGAGTTCGGAGCGCGAAGAAGGAGATGCTCGCGCCAAGAGGTTTCATTTCAGCTCCCCTGCCCGATATAGAATATATTCTACTTTTACATCATCACTCGGCAGCCTCGGCTCCTAGTCATCAGCAATTTCTTCCGTGTTCACGTTGAAGCGAGACAAATCGCTCGAGACCATATGTACTAACAAAAGCAGGTATTGCTGGCCGCAGAAGGAGCTGCAAGTGCGTGACGTTCCCGCGAGTGGTGTGGAAGTGCTGATTACCAGCGGAAATTGCAGCTGGAGGGGTAGTTCTAAGGGCCTGTTTACTTGCACCTGCACTTCCGCGGTAGGTTGCGGCAATAGCTTCTGATACTATAAGTGAACAACTGTAGGCCAACTAGACCCTGTATATATAAAAGTAAACAAGTACAACGATATAACGTGTCTCTTCTAAGTGTAGGTATTGTTTAAACCTATAGTAACGGCTCGAGAGGGTATAGCGACCTATAGTAATAGGTTGTATAAGGTCTTAGCGTACGAAGCCGTAAATTCGAGTTTCCGGCTTTCGGGTATAGGTTAACCTCTTGCTGCTATATAACACCCTTATACGACCTATAATATAGACCGGACAATCGCCGTTGTCTTTATTAATAGTATACTTAGTAGCGCCTTTAATTTAACTATATATAGTAGTATATTTATTAAGACCGAGCCCCCGTAATAGACGATTAATCCTAACGCTAGCGACTCGCTACTATCGCAACTTGCATAGCTGCTATCGACTATTTCGACTAATTCCTCGATAATAAGGAATATACGTACCGCGACGATAGCTATTATATAACCGCCGAGCTTCTCGACGATAAGCGTAAGTTATATAAGAACTACTGTATCGATAAGGCTACATTTATAGCCTTGTTAAGCGCCTTGTACGATAGAGGGTTGCAACTAACGAGGAACCTAACTACCGCTAAAAGGTTAATCTAATTCCTTATAGTTATATCGCTATTATTCGGCTTCCGTTAAGTAGACCTCGTATTTAAGAGGTCTAAGGCTACTATCTACAAGTTATTCTATACGGTTCTTACTGCCTTACTTAAACTATATAATAAGGTTGTTAAAAAGCCGGATTATAATAGTGTACCTTCGAAGATAATAAGCGAGATAAACAAGCGAGGAACGGGCAAGTTTTACCCGTAGTTTAAGGACTGCGTTAGCGCTATAGACGGTAGCTATATTATCGCTTACGTTCCTCGTAATAAGCAGATACTATAGCGCAATAGGAAGGGTAGTGTCTCGCAGAATGTACTAGTAGTTATAGACTTTAATATACTATTTACGTACGTTCTCGCTAGGTAGGAGGGCTCTATAAACGATAGCCGTATGCTATTACACGCTCGCGAAATAGAAGCCTTCGGTACTAACTGTCTAACTAATAAGTACTATCTTGCTAATACTAGCTATCCGAGTATAAGACTTACTATTATACTATTTAGAGGCAAGAGATATTACCTAAAGGAATAGGGCTTAGGTAACCGTAGACCTAAAGATATATAGGAGTTGTTTAATCTAAGGCATTCTAGCTTACGCAACGTCGTAGAGCGCACGTTTAGAGTCCTTAAGATGCGGTTTAAAGTGCTACGAGACACTAATAGACCTACGTTTAATACAGATACTCAAGTTGCCTTAGTCTATAGCCTTGTGTGTCTTTGTAACTTTATACGTTAAAGGACGGAAACCAAAACCACTACTACTACCTGCAGTAATAGTATAGGCTACCGAGGGTAATATAACCTATAGCAATATAGGCAGCTATGTTTAGCATAATAGGATAATAAGACGGTTGCTTAGGCTAATAACTAGAGCCCTGCAATATAGGCATTGTAGAAGTGTAATATAAACAATGTGCTATACGAGGTTAGTGCTCTATCTACAATATAGAAGGAGGCCTCTTATATAGGCTCAAAACTCAGCCTAGGTATGTAGGGCCGGTTACTAGCTAATATCCCTCCCTTTCTTCGTGTCTAACTAGACACGCTTTACATTGTACGCTTAAAACAAACAGTTATGCAGTAACCTTAGGCATCTTAGCTAAGGCTATCCTTTTAGAGACTCCGCAATAATACCCCCGGGGTAGCATTGTTCCTAGATTCTATTAACATGCAAAAACAACTTCCTAAGCATCGAATCTACTACGCTAACTTACTGCTGCTTCAATGCACCGTAATCCTTACTAGTAATAACCTTATTAGCTAGTCGACTCTCGAAATCTCCTCCGTACGCATTAAAGCTATTAGTACCGAAGTACTGTCCCTCGTAGAAAGCTTAATTAACGAGGAGGTTAATAGCCTTTTCCGTCGTAGCATTCTCCTAATTATGCAGATATTCCTTAAGTCCCTCGTTATTAAGCTAGAGGATCTGTTTAACTTCGTTCTAAACAACGTAACTTAACTAAGGAATCCTACTAACTAGAGCGTCGGAGATGTAGCCGAGGCCTTCGACTAAGATCGCCGTAGGGAAAGCGAATAGTACGAAGGAGTTAGAGGCCGGGAGGGCGGTTAGATTGCGGTGCGCTTTAGCAACCTAGGAGACTGTTAAGTTCTCGTAACCCTTAACCTTAGTGCTATTAATAACGCGAGAGTAGCCTAGGTTAATTAATATGCGGTTGCTCTCGGTCTTTAGATTACTATATAGTAGGTATAGCATTTAAATAGAGACCTCGCACTCCTTTAGAGGGTTAAGGATCTACTCCGCCTTACGCCCCTTACTATTAGGCTAACTATCGAACATATAGTCGAGGTCGTCGTCGGTAAAGTACTTATTAGTAAGCTTACCGATCTTACTTAGTAGGACTAGGCTACGAGCCTTAAGCTTCTCAACCTAGTTCGTAAAGACCTCGGGCTAATATATGCCTTCGATAATAGTAGAGTAGCTAGTCTTATCCTTAGACATAAGACAGACCTTAATGCGTAGGTAACTAGTACCCTCGCTAGCTACGAGCTTAACTATATCTTATCCGAGACAAGCAGACTCCTTAGAAGGACAGTTTTCGTAAGTACCGCTAACCTTAAAGAACTTAGTAGGCTTAGGGACGGAGATAAGCTTATATACGTAATTAGGTCGAAGGGCGACAGCTAAGAGCTATAGGGCAGGGTGCTAGCGGACGATTTAATTGCTTATACTATAAGTTTAAAGGGCATTGCGGCCTTCTTACTTAGACTTAGGCATGTTACGTATATACTAAAGGTATATCTTAAACTCTTCCTATATTAGGTCGATAAGGAAAGGAAGATATACTCTACGAGGCTCTTATAACTAACTAAAGACTTAAGGGAAGATAGTATTGCTAGTCTAGCGAAAGCGATCGAAGGAGGTGCCTTAGCTAAGAATGCCGGTAACGAACTTGCTCTAGCGATCCGTTAGCGTAAGGGCGCGAGTAATAGTACTAGTAGGGTTAAACGCGTAGAGTCCTAGAGATGTCGGGGCGGCAATAGGGCGTCTAGGAAACTAGTTAGTATAGGCCTAATTAGCCTTAAGGGCAGCGAAGGCGTCTTAATTAGGAACCTCGCGACCGATCTTTAATAGGCGACCGACGAGGACACTCGCCTTAGTACTAGCATAGAGACTATAGACCTTAGCGGCCTTCTTAATATAGTTGGCATATATAGAGAACGGCTCTTCTCCTAGCTTGCTAAGGTCGTCGAGCTATTAACAAATAGAGAGGGCAGTAGGGGCTTCGCCTATTACGGCTTTAGAAACTATATTAATGTCGGTAATAAGGTGCGCGATAGAGTCGCCCTTATAAGAACTACAAATGTTCTTAGTTAATAGGATCGGCGAGAGGCCTCTATTTCTACGCTCGCTAAAGGAGCCTTTAGAGGAGACATCTTCTAGTAGTATATCTAGTATATTAATATCCGAGTTACTATAGTTAGTACTATAGTTAGTACTATAGTCGGTACTAGAAGGAGCGCTATACTTCTTAGTAGCCTTGCGGAGGGCCTAGCGAGCATGCAATGCCTTCTTACGCGCTACTTCGGCCTTAGCGCGCTCGTCTTAAACTTCTTAAGGGACCTTACGGTTACGGGTCGAGCGACGATCTTTAGCCTATATCTCTATAGCGAGCGTAAGACTAGCAGCCGTATCGGCCTTAGTTTCTAGGCGAAGGGCCTTACGTTTAAGGACGTTAACGATAGGAGCCTCTTAACCTTTAACAATAAAGCCTATACTATTAATACGACAGCCCTTCTCTTTTAGTAGATCCTTAGTTATCTATACGTTAAGATCGACCTAGACAATCGCATCGTAGTGCTTCTTCTAGTAGGCTGTCGTAAAGTCGTTAAGCGTAAAGGACAAGTTAAGTAACTACTTGCCTACCTTCTTACTAGCGGTAGATACGCGATAGATTATAGTACGGGAAAGATGCTCGGCGCCTTAACGACGGACCTTGTACTTATTAACGAACGAAGAGACCTGCTTAGCACGCTCTTGTCTACCGTAGGCGAAGTTAACAAGGCTCTTAGGAAGACTACTTAGTCCTCCCTAGTGTTCGAAGGCCTAGTCGAGGGTCTTAAAGCGTAAACGAATCTAGGTGCCGGCCGTCTCGAGGCTATAGACGATAGGAAAGGCTTGTTCGATATCTATATCGTTAAGAACCTCGCGCTTGAAGATACGCTTACCGATAGACTAACGCAAGTTGTTTATACCGTACGTAACTAAAATAGTAGCCTTTTTAATATTCTTATTAATAACGCGTAGTAGAGTACGAGCGTTCTAGATCTTCTCTTAAGGGTCTTTAAGGGCGGTAACGATCTAGAAGCAGTGCTCGAGGCTAGTTATAGTAGCTAAGGCGCTGTCGGATAGGGCTTCGATCGGAACTAGGGCGGCTAGGCTTAGGTTAATAGAGGTAGGTAGGTCGTTACTACTACTAGCGCCTAGCGGATTCGAGGTACCGGAAGACATAGTCGACCGAGGCGGTTTAGAAACGAGTTTGCAAAGTGTGTTCGTTGCTTAACAATAATAATTAAAGGGTTTAGATAGAAGGGGGGTAGTTAGGCGGTAGCGAGTTAGTTAGTAATCGAGTAGAAGAAGGAGCTTAGGGAGCTCGCTTTAAATATAGTACGAAGGTGACGTAGTCCGTGTATTCCGCGCTAGTAAAGCAAACGGATAACGGCTATATATAAAAGTAAAGCTATATGCGAGACCTCTTTATTATTAGGGCAGGCTAAGGTTTAATAATCGATCTAGCTAATTGCTAGTAGCGACTGCGCGCCTTTATTAACCTTTAGCTATCGTAGACTCTCGCGCACTCGAAATGTAACTAGTTAGTTCGAGTGCTTAGCAGAAATCTATAGTAGTAAAGCTAGCGGGACTAATAATACCCCCGGGGTAGTATTAGCTTTTCTCTAGAGATGCTCGGCGACGAGGAGTAAGCCGCCTAGGCCTAGCGTAGCTAATTCGTCGATGCGTTAGCCTATAGCACTACCGTTGTAGATATAGCATTACCTTTTATATTAGCAAGCACGTAAAAGTAGTCTATACGTTTACCTTCTTCCTTCTTCTAAACACTAAGCTTAATAGCCTAAGGTCCCTATTCTTAGAGGCTATAGGCCTAGGTTGCTATATCTATCTAAGAGCTAGGAAGGGAGAGGGATCCTCCCTTTCTTAGTGTCCTACGTAGCTAGTGCTAATTAGGGTAGGAACATCCTCTAGCAGAGTATCTTATTATCGTTATTACTTAAGGAAGGTTGCTAGAGTCTAGGAATCTAGAGGGAAGTAGTCCTAGAAGGGTAGAAGGGTTAGGTTCGGCTATCTTCCTAATGCTACCCCCGGGGTATTATTAGGAAAACACGCCTCGTATAGTTCTATCTAAGGAAAAACAAAAGCAAAGGAATAAAGTTATAGTAACATCTTCGAAGGCCAAAGAGTAGAATAACAGATAAAGTAAAGGCAAAAGAGGGTAACAACTATAAGCATTAACACCGTAGGAACAAGCAGTAAGGACTAAAGCTATAGGGCGGCACTATATTAATAGCGCGGAGAAGGCAAGGAAAGTAACGTAGTAGAGGTAGGAAAAGACAAGCAATTATTTAGTCTCGGGGTCTAGCTATAATTCTAGGCGGTCTTCGTCGCTAGACTAGTCGAGCTCCTCCTTAGAGTTAGAGTTAGATAGCTAGAAGTCTAGTTTACTATTAGAATTAATATCGGAAATGCTCTACGCGCAATTAATACGTATATAACCCTCCCTTTGTTTATAAGTTATTCCTAATAGCTTACTAAGATGTATCTAGGGATGCGTATAGTTGTCGGGCAGAATAGGATCTATAATCGCGGTAGGATCCTCCTCTCGATAGGTATCTAAGGTCGGTAGAGGGTCTATAGAGGCATTAACTTTCTCCTCGGTCGGGGGAGGACAGGCAGGCTCTCTTAACTCGACGACCTTCTTTAGGTTAGCCCGGGGGTGCGAGTGCTTTAAGGTAGCACTATTAAGTTCCTAAAGTCGGTACGTAGAACTATCGTAAAGGACCTCCTACACTCTATAAGGCCCTTTCTATTTAAAGGCTAGCTTGTAGGATTAACTATATTCTAGCTCCGACCGGTATAGGAGGACTATATCGCCAACCTTTAGAGGCTCCTAGTTAATAGCATTATAGTCGTCGAAATACTACTTAGCCTCCTTACGAAGGCGACGTTGTCGAGCAAGTCCCTCCTAAGAAGTAGTAGTTATA